CTTATTCCACTGAGCCATCTCCCCGGCCCCTAGAGTGGTGTCTTTAATGCAGTGAGTTTAACATGGTTTTTTGGGAGGAAGGGCTAAACCTGCACAAATGGAGGAGAGTTTGAAGAAGGGAAGGGGAGAATTTGCAGGTGGAGGGAGGCAAGCTTGAGGTCTTTGCAAAGGCTAGCTGTGCTTTCTCCCTGTGAGATCCCCCATCTTCCGAGGTAGGAATGCCCCCTTCTTCTGGGTGTGTGTGTGTGTGGGGGTTCCTCTGACCTGTGGGGCTGTGACCCACTTCCGGAAGCAGGGTAGGGAGGTTAGAGATCGTCCCCTGCCGCTGCTTCTCAACCGGGAGTACTTAATGTGGAGGATCCCCATCTTGGAATGGCATGCTGTGTCCAGAGCCCCTTCCCTCCTTAGACTGCTGATGGGGTGCGCAAGAGAGCAAGGGGCTGCCCCGCCCCAGCCCACAGAGCCCAGCCAGAGGAGCAGGGGTATTTTGCTCACTCAAATGCAGCCTAATTCTCATACCCTCCCTGTTTCGAGGCTGAGATTGCCTTTGGCCTTTCCAAGCCAGGAGCAGGGCTGGAGTGGCAGGTCCTGGGAGCCCACAGCATTTTCCTCAAGCTCCCCTTTTACAGGAGCGGGGCAGGGCAGAAGTCAGCTCCTCCCTTGAAAGGCGCTTTCGTAAGGGACTCAAGTCTGTTCTGCAGAATGTGACCCAGCTTGGCAGGTGGCATACTTGGGCTGTCCGGTGTTTATTTATTTCTGATTCATACCCAGTCTACTGGCAGCATGGAGGTAAAAAGGATCACAGGTAGAGTCAGCAGGCTGGCCAGGGGGCAAGCAGGCTCAGACAGTGCTTGTAAAGCAAGACCGCCGGCTGAGCAGGGAAGCCTCACCGGTCACTGGGAGAGCCCAGCTGTGGGGAGAAGGCCCAGCCAAGCACTCAGGCTTGGCTCTGCCCCAGTGCACATTCAAACACATGAAGAACTTTGCTTTTTATTAATTTCAGACATCCTTGGAGTTTTCTCACTGTGAAGGGAAATCCCTCTTCTTCGGTGGAAGACCACATTGAATATCACGGTAATCTCTGGTTGGTGAGAGTCCTGGGCCCCTCTAGCATGTTTCTACCCAAGAGGCCCTGGGTTTTTCTGAGCCCAGTCTTCCCTCAGTACAGCTGTCCATGTGCTACCACCCAGTGGAGTGGCCAGCCACTGACCTGGCTGCATTACGTGGAAGTGGCAATGGTCCACGCCAGCCACAGGTCACGCACACATGAAAATGTTTACATTTCAGAGAGGTCTTTGTTGCCTTATTCTAAAACTAAGTTGTGGCACAGAAAAGGTAGGAGCTGGAAGCGAGAGACAGGGCCAACATGGTGACCTGTGAGACTTGAGACTGCTTGGGACACATGGCTGCAGTCCCCCTGTCCACCTGTAGGGGGCACTGCTGGCAGCAATCCTGGGAGGGACTCAGACTTGAAGAAAGGGGGGTTCCCAATATGGATTTCTTGGGACTTGTGTCTTACCTTTCATAAGGAAAACAAAAGAATGAATAATAATATGTATTCCAAGAGAAAAGAATGGCCTGTTCACTGAAAACAGCCTCTTTGTAAAGCAATAGTTGCTGACCCATAGATGTAGTGGGGGCTTCCCTGCCTTGGAACCCCATTGTTTGAATTGGGGTCTGCCTGCTCTACTCTCTGACAGGCCACCGTGGTTCTGCGGCTGCCCGTGTATTCAAGCTCTTCCAGACGGAGCACGGAGAGTACTTCAATGTCTCCTCATCCAGTGAGTGGGTCCAAGGTGAGAAGCTGCGGGCACCCCACGGCCTGTGGGTGATCAAGGCCAGGAGCCACCAGCTATGCAGAACAAAGAGCTTTCCTTACAGAAATGGGGACACCTCACTGTTACAGACTCAACTGGAAATCTGCGACCGCAGATGGTCTTTATTTAATCAGACCCTACTGGGGAATAGGTGGAAAAGATGGCTAAGATTTGAACTTCAGGTCCGTAGGAGTCCACGCCCCTCAGCTTAGTTCCCAGAATGGCAGGCAGGGAGGGCTCTAACCAGCACACAGAGCCTGCACAGAGCGCAGAAAGCAGCAAGCCCAGCAGCAGTTCTTGGATGATGAGTTTACGGATGCGTTTTCTCCTTTGTGCTTATTTGGGGAGGGAGGCCTGCCCATTGGCTCAGTTATTTAAGTGGCTGCTTAAGCAAAGCAGTCAGGCTCAGGATACTGTGGTTCAATCCCTAGATCCTCATGCCTTATCAGACTTGCCCTTAAAACATCCTGAGCCAGCCCCCCCACCCCCCCAAAAAATCCTTTGTGTTTATCTGGTTTTGCCATAATAAGAACTGTACATTGTTCATAAAACAAGCAAGTTAACAGGAAGTGTTTTTAATGGAAAGGCAGATGAGATGGGACAGTTGGCAGGTAGCTTAGAAGAGCCTTCACCTCCACTGGTGCAAGCACAGACAGATACCTGACCCTGTCTTGCTTTCTGCCCAGATGTGGAGTGGACGGAGTGGTTTGACCATGATAAAGTGTCTCAGACTAAAGGCGGGGAGAAAATTTCAGACCTCCGGGTAGCTTACCCAGGAAAAATCTGCAACCGCCCCCTTGACATACAGGTAACAATTGTGTGGGAGGCTCTTTCCTTTCTTTCTTTCTTTCTTTCTTTCTTTCTTTCTTTCTTTCTTTCTTTCTTTCTGTACTGGGAATCAAACTAAAGAACCTTGCACTTGCCAGGCAGGTGCTTATGCCACTGAGCTATATCCCTGGCCTAGGAGGCTTTATTTTGAAAGGGATGCTATAGGCTGCAAGATGCCTTGTCACCTGTGCGGTATGACTCTTCTGGTCCTGTTCCCTCTGATGGAGGTGCATCAGAGAGCACCGTTCCCTCCTTAGAGGCTGAGGCAAGGCTGCCTGAAGCTAAGACTTGTTCTCTCTTGGGTCTACTCCTTCTTCTGAAGCTGAGGCTGGGGCCTGAGGCCAGGGTGCCTGGGCCTGCCCACCTCACTCTGGCTGGTTTTCTTGGGGGCCCTCATATTGTGGTCAGGATTTGAGATGCAGGCTGAGCCCAGCCCAGAGGAAGAACATAGGATGGCCATGTTCTCCATGGAGTGGATTAAAAGCATTCAAAGAAGGACGGTGTATTAGCTCAGGACCCTCACCTGGAGTTTATCCTGTCCCAAGGACAACCGACCTGCGCAGTTGGCTCCATCGGGAGTGTTGACCTGATGCGCAGGCCTCAAAATTCAGTAGCTCAACAGGTGGGAACTGGGACTGCTGGGAGAGCACAGAAGCCAGGAATGATGGGCCACGTGTACAGGACTTATTTCCTTACTCCTGGTCTTGTGCCAAAGCGAATTGTGAGGCTGTTTGAGGCTTGATCTAGAGTTAGAAGTCAATCAAGAGAGAGAGAGTCCTGTCCATTTTATCTTCTTTCAGTCAGCAAATACACAGTGGGCTATCTGTGCCCGCAGGCTCCACTTCCAAAGGTTCAGGCCCCCGGGGAGCAAAAACATTTGGGAAAGCAATTTTCATCTGCACCACACGTGAAAGGACTTTCCTTCTTGTTGTTATGCCTTGGACAACACAGTGTAACTACATGGCATCTACAGATGTGAGGGGCTGCAAGTTGTCTAGGGGTGACCAATCACACAGGAGATGGGTACAGGTGGTATTTAAATTCTCTGTCCTTTATGCAAAGGACCTGAGCATGTGCAGACTCTGGTACTTGTGGGGAATCCTGGGAGCTTCCTGGGACACCAAGGTCAACAGCTGTGACTGACACTTGTCTACACTTCCTCTGGGTCATGTAACCAGGGGTCTGACTGTGCTCTAACCCTGTAGCACTGTCCTTGGCAGGTATTTGACCTCTACTTACCCTGAAACAGGACCCTCATCTTAGCCTGGACTCTGTGCTGCACTGAGTGAAGGCTGAGGAGGCCCGGCTGATGGCTTGGCTCAAGCTTATCCTTTCCTCCGGCTCCACAGTTACAAAGGAGGCTTAGCCCAGATTAGGTTGCAAGTTGCAGCCTCTTCCTAGATCCAAAAGGATCAAAAGGCGCTCACTCCTTCAAAGCACAGACTTCCTGGGTTTAATTGAAAATTTCTCCCATAGCCTCAAACATTCCAGTCTTAATTCTGAAATGGCTATAATCTTATCTCTTCCATGCCCTTGACTGCAGGCTATGTGGTCCTTTGCTAGCCTTCCCTTTCCAGATATTTCTGAAAATCCTTCAGGAATGCTTCCCTGGCCTCCAGACGCCTGTGGGAGTTTCTCTGCCAGCTGCCTGACTCCAGACTCCTGTGGCTTGAGGGTAATTTCTTCACAGCAAGTAAACAGCTTTCCTGGGGCATTTCTACTCCATCTTTTGCTCTGCTCCCTGCGCCTGTATGCGTGTGCATGCGCGCCCGCACGCGCGCACACACACACACGCACATATGCACACATGCACACATGCGGGCCCTCCCTGAGAGCCCCAGAGCTCAGTTACACCTAGGCTGAGGACACACACCAAACTTCCACTGTGACCACCACATTCTGTGGCACAGGACCAGTTTCTCCCCCCCCCCCCGAAGAAGGGCATCCTTGATTATGCATGCCCTGGGTTCAAGGTCTCAACCTTTTGAGGGCCAAAGGAGAATAAAAAAGCAAGCAATAGTTTCCCCATATCAGAAGCTCTGGGCAGCTTTCCCAAGGCAAGTAGCTTCTTTCTATGACAATATTCTGCCTAGCATGGTAGCCCCTCATTGATTCAAAGTTCCCAGTTCCATAATGGCATCCTTACTTTGTCTGGGCAAAACCAAGGTGCTGAGGTAGTGAGCTATAGCCTGCTCCTGCTCCTGCAGAGAGGAGCCCAGACTCCACCGCTAGAGTGGAGGAGGCAGCGCTGCCTGGTTGTGAGGGTGCCAGTTCCTCCTGGCAGTCTATGTCCCCTGGACCCCGTGGACAGAGCATCTCCCCACATTCGTGGTGGGGGGAATGTGGCTCTGTACAGTGAGCTCCTGGCCTGGTCCTCTCTGAGGCTGGGGAAGGGAAGGCAGCCTCTTTCCACATCTTGTTCACTGGTGGTGACATTGACCAGGAGCAGAGTGCCCTGGCTAACTACCCATGGGCAAGGTGGGGAACTGGACCTCCCATGCCCACCATGGCCCCTCTTGCAAGCCAGCTCAGCCTCCCCTCCCTGTGCCCACGGCTGTCCCACACCCACAAGCTGCGTATGCCCCAGGGCCTGGCACTATGTCATATACACAGCTGGTCGTGGGGACTATGGGCACCAGTGCGGTCAGACCCTCTGGGAAGGGTGTTGAGGGCATGGGAGGAGGTAAACTGAGGCTGCTTACCTGGTCCAGATGACTTAAAAAAACCTTTCTAGAGTCTGATATCTCATGTTTCTTTTCTTTTGGGGGGCTGGGGATGGGTGGGTTACCAGGAATCGAACTCAGCACCTTGTGCTTGCAAGGCAGGCATTGTGCCCCTGAGCTATTTCCCTGGCCCAGATATCTCATGTCTCTTTAAGAAAAAAAGTAAAGTAAACCACATCCACTATTTCTACATCTTTGTCCTTCAGCTTTCGTCCCCTGAAGTCCCCTCTCTTCTCAGCCAAGGCTGGGCTCCTGGGGTAAGGTGGGGGGGCATCTCGGGTGCCTTTGGTTTCCCCACAGCTGTGGTGCAGGGGCAGGAGGTTACACTCAGGGTTAGAAGAATGATCTGGAAGCCAGACAGACTGAGAGAGCAGAGAGACCCTCCTCACCTGGAGCTCTAGCACCCCCCCCCACCTGTGCCAGGTGCTGTATTTAAGGTGGCACTGCATCTCAGGTGCTGATTCTGCATTTACACGACCCTGGGAGGGAGTGTGACCTTAAGTGCTGTCTCCTGGATCCCTTGCACACAGTCCTGGTCCTATTCTTTATCTTTGTGCCTCAGTTTCCTCCTATGCAAAAATAGGGATAATAATTGTTCCTCCTGATAGTCTTTTGTGTGTTAGTGCAACCATTCACAAAGTACTTGAACCACAGGGAGTGCCCTTCCTTTGAAATTGTTTTTATTGATTGTTGATATAATATCTTAATGGTTTTATTTTATTGTTATAGAAGCATGAATAATAATACTTTTATGTCCACTTAAGTTGAAGATCCTTTTCACTGAGTGGTGATAGATCCCTTTTTGTTTGTTTGGATTTTTTAATCTCGCTATGAGATTTCAGGCTAACCTTGACCTGACTGACCCTTTGCTTACAGCGATCCTCCCGCCTCAGCCTTGCTTGTGCTGGGATTATAGGCATGCACCACTGTACCTGGCTGGTAATAGATTCCTTTTTACTCTCCTTATCCAAAACTAGGGTTGTGCTTTAGGTAAGGAAAAAAGAAAAGTAGGATTTCTCCCTTGAAATTGTTGTACCTTGGAAAACACCCAGGTTCCCTGGTGATGCTTCATTCCAGGGTCTCCGTATTTTAGAGTCTGCTGAAGACCATGCTGGGCTGAGAAGTCATCAGCTTGGAAGGGCAGAGGGACCTGAGCTTGGTCTGCACCCTGTGGAGCTGTAGCGGTTTCCTGTAAAAGCCTGCTTGCATCCTGGTCTGGGTCTGAGACGCCCATGATAATTGGGGTGTGTGCTGCTTGCAAGAAAGGCCTCAATTTTAGCTGTGAATTTTCATCACACACTATGCAATCTTTAAGCCAAAATCGTTGCTGGGCCTAAACACTGTTTCCTAAGAAGTCTCTGCCTTTTTTTTTTTTTTTTTTTAATGGTTAGTCTTGCTTCACTTCTATCCCCTGACCTCTGTCCATTTGGTTTCTGTGCCAATGATCACAACTGCTGTGGCTGCATGTGAATTGTGTCTCTGAACAGCAGACTCTGGCTTGGGTGGGCACAATGGGCTGGCCCAGGGCAGCCTTACTTGGAGTCTGTGTTTTACATCCCCACCTGGCCTCATCAGACCCCATTGACTTAGACCCTCTGTGCCCGGTCCTGGGGCCAGAGAGACAGGTGAAGCCGAGCTCTCACCCCCCTCAAAGCTCTGCCACAGGCAGGGACCCACCTGCGAGTGAAGGAAGCAGGCAGAGGGCCTTGAGGGTGCAGCGGGGAGAGGCTCAGGAGCCCAAGCTTTGCAGCTAGGTAAACTGGGTTCAAGGTCTGCTATGGGCAACCCTTTCCTCAGTGCCAGTTATCAGGGACCTCTGCCATGAGTCACCAGGCTCCTGCCAAGTGTCAAAGTTCATGGTGGGAAGAAAGAGCAAAAGACAAAATTGGGGTGCAGCAGGGATGTGGGATGGCCAGTGGTTCTCGGGAAATGCAAGGCCGCAGGCAGCCAGGACCTTGGCGCTTATTGATCTGAGCCAAGGACATGGGGTGAAGGGCAGGGGGTGTTTCTGGAATGGTGACTGCAGTGGGCTAGGAAGATCAAGGCATCCTTGCAAGGACAAGACAAAGACAAGACGGGGAGCATGAGGAAGCTGCAGTGTCCCCAGATGCCTTATCCTCGTTAGCAGGTCTTGCCCTGTGAGTCCCATGACAGTCATTAGCCCTAGCCCAGCTGTGACCAGAAAAGAGCAGGCAGTTTCTGAGTTCTAATATGACTGAAGGGCAGGACATGAGCAAGCGTGGATGTCCCCTAGATTTGATTTATAACTCATGGTCCCCACCAGTCTGTTTTGTCCCTGGCTTTGTCATCGTGGACCAGCTGATCTGCCTCCCTACCTGTTGTTCTTCCTGTATCAGCGATAGCAACAACAGCCTCTGGATTTGTTGTGGAGATGATGTGAGGTTTATCTGAACCCTTGGTCTCCAACCCAACGGCGTTCCTCCAACTTCTCAGTCTCTTAGAGTTACCAGGGCAGTTTCTGACCACCTCAATGCTCAGACTCCAGCCCTGACACAGTCCCAGGGTGGAACCTGGGCCTTGGGTCTTTAGAAGACCTGAGGGTGACATGGAAGCCTTATATGGTCATCACAGGATGGGACACAGATAGTCCTCACAGATGAAATCCTGCTGGCACATGGCGGTGGTGGTGTCCATGCTATGGGAAGTGGCCAGGTCAGGTGCTGAGTGCCCACGATGGGATGCACGGTGAGCTGTCCTCATGTGGATGTCCCCATGTGGATGTCCTCATGTGGATGTCCCCATGTGGATGTGTGGCTCTACAGGACCTGTGCAAGGCATTTGTCTGTTCCAAGATGTCCTACTGCTCTTGGTAACAAAACTTCTGTGGGCAGCTGGGATGATCCTCTCTGACCATTGAAAACAGTTCTGTGGCAAAGATAGTTTTAGACCTTTATGCTTAGAATGAGAACATCAATTACCACCTTCTTCCCCTTTGATGTGGAAAACGACTTTGCTCCGTGACTTCTGTTCCTCTCCCAGGCCGCTAGGTTGGATGGAGTCAAGCTCAGCACTGAGGTTGTCTACAAAAAGGGCCAGGACTACAAGTTCGCCTGCTATGACCGCGGCCGTGCCTGCCAGAGCTACCGCGTGCGCTTCCTCTGCGGGAAGCCTGGTAAGCAGCCTCTTTCTCACAGTGTGGGCAGTGGAGGTGGGTCTGCTGCAGCGGCATCACAGCGACCTTGATGTGCTAGGGTGGTTGGCACACTTACTGGACATAGAGCAATGGGAGGGACTTCAGAGCTGAGCAGTCAGCCCCACCCTGCCCACGAGCCTTTCAGGAAGGAGGAAACCCAGGCTCCAGGACAGCAGGGTTTGGGTATACAGTGGGGTGTAGATGGACAGTGGGGTACGGATGGACAGCACAGACCCCCACACCCTCCTGTGGCATTGTACCACTATTTGCCTTTCTGGGTGCTGTTAGCAGGGAGTGGGAATGGTTGGTTTGTTCCCGAGGACATGGCCATCTCTGGAGGGCAGTCATTAGGGACAGGACATCTGCAGGGGAGAGGAGTGGCAGGGCTGTAAATAATAGTTGAGAGGGACTATATTTGTTTTATATCTTGAGCAAAGTGGGTGTGGTGAGACAGCTACATTTAACTTTCCTCAGAAGTTAGTGGAAAGTTCCCTGCCCAAAGCTAATGAATGGCTCTTTTCTGGTTGGGTTTTTGTTGACTTCAAAACCCTGCACCAAGACGGAGGGAGGGAGCTGGTGATTTGGGGTTTGGATAGGCGAGCCTGGCATTTGCTTGTGTAGGAGGGAGAAGGGAAGAGGTGCACAGCCAGCAGGCTGCCAAGCGAAGGGCTGTGGCCCAGTCTGCCTGTTTCCATTACAGTGAGGCCCAAGCTCACGGTGACCATCGACACCAACGTGAATAGCACCGTCCTGACTCTGGAGGATGATGTGCGGTCTTGGAGGCCTGGAGACACCCTGGTGGTTGCCAGCACCGACTACTCTATGTACCAAGCAGAAGAGTTCCAGGTGCTGCCCTGCAGAGCCTGTGCCCCCAACCAGATCAAGGTGGCAGGTAGGCCTGCACCCACCCGCCGACCATGATGACTCTGAACACTTCAAGGCTTAGGGTAAACAGATGTTTTGACAAATGTGTCAGCCAGCTATGGACAGAATAATGGTGCATAACAAAACGCCCTACTATACTTACGCATTTGTAGGCTGTCTTCTCTAGACCAAGCCTGGTTCCAGGCTGAGAGCTTACATTAGGCTGGCTGCCTATGACTCTCCTTCTTCCTAGGACACATCCTTGCCTTTGGAAAGTTGAAAGCTCTGAGAGCAGAGAATAAACACAGAAAGGATGTGAAGGCCGAGCTTAGCCAGGCATACTTTCATACCACCGTCTACTGGCCAACGCGTGAAGCACATGGCCTGGGCCAACCCCAAACCCGGGAACCGTGTGTCTTCTACTGGGACTAAAAGGTGGAGTTTAGTTAGAAAATAATTTAATCTACCATAGAATCTTAAATATCCTCTTTCAATAGCTTTTGGGTTTTTCTTTTTCTTCCCCTAAATCCTGACTTAAGGGCTCTATAATTTATGTCATGAGGGTTTACTGGAAATATACATTGTTAGAGGTTAATAAAAAGACATCATATATAATCTAGGTTGATTGTTTGTAATGGGGATATTGTGTATCAATTAGGGTTCTAGGGTTGTGAGCCACAGAATCCAAGCTATCAGAGGCAGCCTAGGAATTGAGACTCAGCCCAGGGCTACACTAGCAGCTGGAGGGTGGAGAAGCACAAGGGCAAGGAGCAGCCTCAGGACCTGGGTAGCTGGAGCTCGTGGGCACCACCCCTAGGACGTTGCTGTCTTCAGGAATCATGCTTGGTTCTGGGGACTCTGTGCTCACAGGTCACCTCCAGGGAGGGCATCTGACTGTGCAGTAGCCAGGAGAAAAGTGTCACTGCAGACCACCCTAGACTGGGTCACAGGAGGAATGGCCACTCCCTAGAGGAGCACTGGGCTCTGCCACCACAGATAGGGGCACCAGGACCCAGCATTGGGTTATCATATGCTATAGGACAGAGCACTTTGAGATGAGAGGTGGCCATCCAATGAATCTCAAATATCTGTTACTTTGGAAATAAACCTATAGGAACTCAAACTCACCGTGATCATCTTAGCTGGTTGATATGTGCTGGAGAAGGAACTTGGGAGCACACTTATGAAAAGGAAGGACATGATGGCGATGCCCAGTCCCTTTGCTCTTGGCTGTCACGTAGCTAAGGCAGTCCACAGACACCACGGCTATGGTCCCAGGCATGCTAGAGCTGGGAGCCTGCAGGGGAGGTTGTAGCATTGTTCTCTTGGGGAAGATGACACGTTGGTGAGTGTGGCTAGAAGGAGGGCAGGGGGTGGTGGCAGGGTGTGGGTAGAGGCCCGGATAGCCCTGTGCTCATCCTCCACAAACAGGAGTCTGTAGTCTAAAATGATAATGTCTGAGCCCCTGTTTGGATGAGACATTTGGATATCTCACCTTAATCCCAAGTCCACATGACCTTGACAACAGTGTGTGTGGGTGGGTGGGGAGCACATTTAAATGATGGAGACCTATAGCAGAACACGTTCAACAAATGTAGAGGTAAACCCAGGTTGACAGATGCTCAGGAAATAAGCCCTGATATTTATCTCTGAAATTCTGGGCAGCCAAAGCAGAGAAAGAAAATTATCAAGTTACTTACCTATCCTTAACCAATGAAATAAAGAAGACCATAGAGCAAGAGGGGAACTTTTCCCTATCTCTGAGCCCCTGAGGACTTGGTTGCGACGGTTGTCATGTGAAGGGTGAGGCTGGCTGTGGCTCAGGTCACTTACTAGATGGCCCCTGACGCTGGACACATTCCACAAGGATGCAAAAACAAAACCAGTTTTGTATTTGGCTTTGTTTGGAAGAAGCAGAATGGCAAGCAGAGCGTCAAGAACTCAGGCCAGAGAACCAGGTGTCTGTGACTGGAATCCTGGATGCCATTTCTTAGCTAGGAAGCTTTACATGGCTACAAAACCTCTGCATCTCAGTTTCTTAATCTTTAAAAGGGAGACATGATCATAACCACTTCACAGGGTTAATGTGGAGATCAAAGGGGCGGTGGGGTTACTTAAATACTGGTACAGAGTAAGTGCAAGCTGTAATGATTAGTAGCACGAGCGGTATCGCCATGGAAATTAGGCTGCTGGTGGACTGCAGGCAGGGACGTGGCTGGTGGGCCAAGGTCACTGGACCTTGGCTGTGTTGCAGTTCATCATTTTTGCTCTTTGGTACACACAGCTGGAGGTCACAGAGGAAAAGAAACAAACTCTTTCTACCGTCTTCACTGACCAACACCTGAGGTCCATGCGCGCCTGTGGTCATTAGCCTGCCTGGATACCTCAGGGAGTGGGGTGCCAACTCTGCAGACGTGCACACCATGTCCTTCCCCTGCCCCCAGGCTGGGCAGCTGCCCCAGCTCTTCTTCCAAAGGGATATACAGGAAGTCACTTCCAAAGTGACTAAGGAGCACATGTCAGGCTGGGGAGATACCTTGGTGGTCTAAGTGCCTGCCTGGCAAGGGCAAGGAGCCCGGGTTGATTGATCCCCGGTACTGCACGTTGTGCCAGCCCTGAAACCGGGTGTGGTGGCACACACCTGTAATCCCAGTGCTGGGGAGGCTGAGACGGAGGATCACTGTGAGTCTGAACTTCATAGCAAGACCCTACATCATCAAAAAAATAAAAAATAAAAAGAGCACATGTCAGATGTGCCAGGCAAAGCGCCAGGCCTTCAGTGCCATGAAGAACAAGATGAGCGCTTTCTCTGTCCTCAGGGAAGCTGCAATCTCGAAGGGAAAACAGACATCCATCGAGGAGGCATTCAGTGAAAGAAACTCCCACAGCAGTAACTACTAGGGAAATAGAAGAGTGGAGGTGTAAGGAATGCACGTCAGGGATCTGCAGAGTCAGGGTGGAGCCTTCCCGGAGGACTCAGGGGCTGAGCCAGGAGCTGGAGAGAAGTGGAGGGCACCCAGGGAGAGGAGGGATGCCAGGTGGAGTGTGGGTGCAACCTTCTTGGGAGAGCAGGGACCTCACCCTAGGAGGGGGGAACGTGGAGCTCATGCGGCTGCAGAGAGACCAGAGGCCATGGGCCAGTGCACAGGAGGTTGCTGAAGGCCAGGAGCCTGGTGGGTGTCTGTGGCCAGGAAGGACTGGTGGGCACTGAGATGGGTGAGTTCTGAGAGATTGCCGGGTCCTTAGGTCATCAGGGTGACTTGTGTGTCATGAGAGAGTGCTTTGTGGGCAGCCTTCCAGGGTGCCACAGGAGTAACATGTATGTGGTTGGGGCTAAGGTCACTGCCCATGGCTCTAGGCAATGTCTGTGGTGCTTAAATGCCACAAAGTGCCACCTGAACCCTTACCTGTGTTGAGGAGGAGTGGGGGATTGGGGAGACCTGTTGTGTCCTGAGCCTGAGCTGGGATCTGACTCTGAGCAGGCTGTCACACGTGCTGACAGTGGCCTTGATTCTGAGGGGCTCATGGGGCATCAGAGCTTGTCTGAAACTTGCTGCGGAGGGTCTTGGTCAATTCTGAGCTGCTCCTCCTGACTAGGTTCCACCAACTGGCCAGTTGCCTCTGAGGCCCTGTATGGCTGGGCTGAGTGTGACAGGGCTACTTTGGACCCTGGGTGCCTAGGAAGGAAGGAGATGTGGAGAAGAGGCCAGATCCTGCAGGACACCCTGGATTCCAGCTCAGCGCTGCCTGCAGTGGACTCTCCTGGCTACCTCCCTCTTCCTTAGAAGTGTGCACGGCTTGATGCTGGGTTTCCATGAAAATGGCACTTGTGAGCACAGCAGAAAGCCCCTGGGAGGGTGGTCTGTCTGTCTGTCTGTCTGTCTGTCCTGAAGAAGCTCCCTCCTATTCTTCTTCTTCAGCCTGAGCCTACCTCTGGCACTCTATCCCCCGCTGGCACAGAGTGAGGACTCTGCCCGCTTCTCCCCACCCTGTGCCCTGTCTCACCCCTGTGAGCCCTTGGGGTCACCCCCCCAGGCTAGCTGCAGAGCAGACACGTCCTCCTGCAGAGGCGCCTTGTTCCAGTAAATGGCCCTTTTTGCATTTTAAGGGTTTTCTGATGGGAAACAGATGGGGGCAACAAAATAACAGAAATATGTGAATCATCAAAAAAAAAAAATATTTCCAAGCTTTGCTAGCCACCATGCAATTCCCAACCCGTGCCGACATGGAGGTGACAGTTGAAAACTTCTCTGTCTTGGCCCTATTTTCATTGCCACCTTCCCACTTTGCCTGCAAACTCCTCACACCTTTATGTAACATGGCTCTATGTATAGAGGCTATTGATTTGGTTTCCTGTGATGTCCCAAGCACTTCAGGCAACCTGCATGATAATCCTGTGCTGTGGGCACTGCTCTCCCCTGCATGGCTGGGGGGAGGTAAGTTCCCCAGACACCAGATGCCTGGGTTTGTGCTTCCCCATGTGGTGGCCGCCAGCTGTGGGTAGCTGTAAGTCTATTTAAATGATCTAAAATGTAAAGTTCCCTCCTTTAGCTGTGGTCACGGTCACCAGGTTCTGAGTGTTCAGTACCCACATACATGTCCCTGGTGGCTACTACCTCAGGGAGCCAGGACGGAGCATCTCCAATGTAAAAGAAGGTGCCTGAGGGGCTGTTAGGGTAGACCAAGCAGGTCAGTATCTGCACCAGGATTCAAATGAGAATCCACCCAGGCCTGTGGGTGCACCTTTGCCTTTCCTGTAGGATCACCTACCTACTCCTGGCGTACCCCTGTGGGACTCCTAGTCCTGTTCTGGGACTTGTCCTTGCAGCCAGTGGCCTGGGAAGGGAGAGTTCCCTCTGGCCTCCAGGTGTTCTGGGGTCTGCTGGGTCTGAGGACCAACATACTAGTCTGTTTCTTGCTTTAGAAGGACTTAGTGGTTCATCCTTTTGACCCAGGGAACCTGGTTCTGTGCCGGCCCTGTGGCAAGGCTTGGGGGTCATTGAGGTGGTGCAGCCCATAGTGGAACACAGGGAAACGCCAGTGTTTGCAGGTCCCCTGCTCCGCAGGCAGCCTCCCTCCTTGCTCTTCTTGATCATTTGGGACAGCTCTGGCTTGGCCAGCTCCATGCATCAGGGCTAGAGAAGGAGAGGAGTGGTGGAGGCCTGAGGGAGAATTCTAAGACACCGTAAAATGCCAAAGGTCAGGCATCAGCTGCCCTGGGAGTCTGGGTGGACAGGGAATCCTGCACAGAGCCGACAGCAAGGTTTTGGAAAGGGCCCCACAGTGTATAAAGATTCACAGCTGTGGAGAAGTGACTGGAGCTGGACACTGGGCCAGCTGTTGTATCCATCCATCCAGTGTTGCCTTGCTTGCAGGCTCTGAGGCGTGGAGCCCTTGCTGCACCCTAACCGGCTTCCACCACAGAGCTACCCCTGTCTTTCAGGCCTGGATGCCAGCCTTCACCTGGGACAATGCCAGTGGCAGCTGTATGTGCCATTCCTGTTGCACTTGGCCTACCCTGTGCCAGTGGCTGTTTGAAGTCTCTGTTGTTTGGTAGATTAATTCACTTCACAGTCGCACTGACTTTTAGGACAATGCTGTTATTATCTCTGTTTTATAGATGAAGAGCCCAAGGTTCAGGGAGCTCAAGTTGCATGCCCAGGGACTCTCAGCGACAAGCTGAGTCTCACAGCAGGCTCTGAGACCAGCAGCCTCCCTGTTACCCTCTCCTATATCCCTGGAAGGCTGTCTGGCTGCCCATAGGCACAGAGGCTTCTGACATGATCTGGCCTGGATGCCATGCCTTAAGGAGTACTGAGAGAAGCCTGAGAGCCTGTAGGCATGGGTCCCAATCAATGGTCAGATGGCCCGGGTGTGTAGCTGGCACTGGGGAGGCCTGGGCCACTGCTGGCTCTACTAAGCTCTGAAGGACACTGAAGAGAAACAGCCAGTTCTCAGTGTGGCTAAGGAGTTTCCTGGGGAGACATGGAGGTTGGCCTTGCAGGACAAGGCCATTTGACCCTTGGGGGAGGTGGAGAGAAGCTACCCTGAAGAGGGAGCAGGTGGGTGAGCCCTAGGTATAAAGCAGCGAGGAGGCAGGCTGAGGGAGGGTGGGTGTGGGGCTGGCTGGGGCAGAAAGGAAGGTGGAGACAAGCTCAGGGAGCTGGGGTTTTCTCTGTCTGTCCTGGGGAACCCTGTCTTGGGCTCTGGCTCAGAAGACTGAGCCCAGCCCTGGAGTCACTCCTGGGCAGTCTGCTCTGAGCTGTGTCTCAGGACCCAGGCTGGACCTCCGAGCCCCACCCATGGCCGGTTCACAGACAGACCTGAGCTGCCTCTGGGCACTGTGCTCTTCCTAGGCTGTCAGCTTCTCCTCTGTCCCCAGAGCTCAAAGCAGCCTTGTGCCTTGAGGGGGCATTTGGGAGTTTCTCTGAGCTTTGCCTTGATGTATCCACTAATGGAGAATACAAGCTGTGAGCCAATAAATAGAAGGCTCCTGGAAAACCAGGATCCCAGAAGAGAAAGAGGCAAGGAAGACCCAGTTCCTCCTACTCCGTTTATGTGAGGGAAACATCTTGAACTGAGGTGTTCTGGAAGACCAGGGCAGGCAGAAAGGCAGAGGTGCAGGGCATCACTGGGTCTCTGTAACGATCCCCAAGATCTTCTGATGGAGAAACATGAAGAAGGAAAGTGTGTGTGTACAGCATTAGATATGCAAGGTTGGGTTGGGGTGAAGGCTCACAGGAAGGGGTGCAGAAGCAGGGAGGGGGAGCCATGGTGCACCTCTGGCACCTGTGACCAGCAGGAAGGTGGAAGTGCAGTCAGCTGAGAGGAGCCACGGGCTGCAGGGGCTCTGAGGAAGCCAGGCGGCCAGTGGGGAGCTCTGGAGCAGGGACTGCCCAGCAGGGAGTCCCTTGTGGGGCAGAAATGGCTGATGTTGGTATCACTGTGCTGCAGTGGCTGGGCGGAGCCCCTGGTGCCCGTGGATGGGGGCTCACGGGGATGTGGCAGCTGCTGGTGCTGCGCTCCCTGTGCTCTGTGGCAGGCACTCTTGCAGAGCAGCCACAGCAGCAGGGTGTAGGGAGAGTGGTGAGGTGCTGGGAGGAGGAGTTGCCCACATTGCTGCTGTGGTTTCCCACACCACAGATGGGGCTTCCTGGAGAGGGATGGGCTACAGAGCTCACCGCCACAGGCAGAGACCGGGGGGATGAGAACAACCTATTCCTCAGCAGATTGCAGCAGAGCGCTGAGCACCACCTGACCTCCCACATCCACACAGTACCCCAGGGAGCCAGCTCCAGGTTATGGAAAGCCCTGTGCATGAGTCCCCACAGTGGCACCTCATTTCTAACGTCTCCTACACGGCACTCCAATCCTCCTGGTCAGGCGTGCACCCAGCATAGCCCCCTATTTAGCTCCTCCAAGCCAGGGTCACTCAGACATCCTGCGAAGCTCTTGGGGGAGACATTGCCCTTCATAGCTGGGAAGTATGGATGAGCTGGGGTGGAAGGAGAGGAAGCAGAGGGAACCCTGCTCTGGACCTTGAAACTATGTATTGTCTAAATTTTTAATGTTGCCCGGAAGTCCTCGCATCAAAGCCTGGGTCCTCAACTTGGTGCTACTGGAGGTGGTGAAATCTTACAAGGTGACCTAAAAGGAGATCTAAAGTCCCAAGTGGTGAGCCCTGGAAGGAGACTGTGGGATGCTGGCATCTTTTTTTCTGTTTGTTATCAGCCATGAGGTGAACAGCTTCCCCTCTACTGCATACCACCATGACATACTGAGCCATCACAGATCTAAAACAATGGGCCAGTCAGTCAGACTGAAGCCTCTGCAAACAGAGGCCAAAATAAACCTGTCCCCCTTTTATTTTCTTCTGAGACAGGATCTCACTAAATCACTCAGTTGCAGAAGGTAGGCTTGAACTCATGATCCTCCTGCCTCCCAAATGCTGGAATTATAGGTGTTTGCTACCACGTCTGACAGCTTTCTTCTTTTTAAATTGATTTATCTCAGGTATTTTTAAAGTAATAGAAAGCTGATTAATGCAATGCCAGAACTGTTTTTAAGAAGGACTCTGTGGCTGGCTGGATAATGGCCTAGAAAGAGATCCTCCTAATCCTCAGGACCTGTGAGTGCCCATTTATGGCCAAAGGGACATCACAAATGTGATCAGACTAAGACTGGAGATGGGAGGTTGTCCTGGATGCCCCGGCTGTGCGTCTGATGAGGGCACACGGGGTCAGCTCTTCCTGTGGGCAAGAGGGCAGAGGAAGGTCACTGTGAGGTGCTTGGGTTAATTATAGCTGGGGCCCTCGCACTGGGCCCTGGCTCTGTCTTGGGGCTGAAGCAAGTGCTCCATTACTGAGTCGTGTTAGAGGCAAGGGACTCTGATTGCTGAGGGGCCACACGACCCACAGGGTGGGCGGTTGCTCTTTGTAACTGCACCGCAGATGTGAAAGTGTCTACAAGCCAGGTCAGCAATCTTAGGGAGGAGCCGGCTTTAGAGCCAGGCTAAAGTTATCATTGTAGCAAAGAATTTGGAACTGTGGTAGAGGTTGAATCTGGGGCTGCAAGGCAAAGATGGTTCCACATGTTAGTGCCTGTCGCCCTGCTCTTCTCTTAAGGTGCCTTTTCTGCACCACTGGAGGGGATGCTGAAAGGAAAACATGAAGAGCGTGTGGCGAGAGCTTGAGTGGAACAGTGGGAGGGAGAGAAAGTGGAGGGGCCAGCACAGACCTGATTCAGAGACTCTAGCCACCGCAGGAAAGAGATGACAACAGCTGGGGGGTGGGGGGTGGGGCGGGGCGTGTCCTTTCCTGTTCAAGGCTCCGGGGAGTTGTTCCCAGAGTTAAGAAAAAGCAAAGCTACTGGAAGAGGAAGCTACTAGGCCTGGGGAAGGGCTGGCTGGATCAGCTGCCCAGAGAGCCTGGTAGGAGAGCAGCCTGCCCTATAGATACTACGGACCCCCTAGATACATGTCACGTGCCCTGTAGACACACACTGTCGGTATGTAGCCCACGAGGACGAGGACGAGGAGAGCAGGACACGGAGGGCTCTGCTCTACAGCAGGGGACTGAGAAAGACAATGATTGCTCTACTTTCTCAGGAACCCCAGCGGGAAGGTGGCCTAGCACACAGGTCTCATGGGATCAGCTAGGCTCGGGCTCTTTTCTGTAGCTGCTCTGCTTTCGTTGGGGGCAGGATTTCCCCATGTGTGGCAGGGCTTGCCTCTGCAGGATGCTCGGAGCCCTTCTCGTAATCCAGTGGCCACACCTAGCCACAAGGAGGGTTGCAATGCACCTCCCCTGGCTGGCTGTGTGTCCAGCTAACGCATAGGAGAGTCCAGTCTTGAAGAGCCTGTTTCCACCCTAAGCACATGTGGCTGGGAACCCTGGTTTTGCCTTTAGTATGAGGTGTCACCTCCCTGGGCTTCATTCTTTTACACAACTCTCTGGGACAGGGCCCCCGAGGGGCCTGGTGATAACACACGCACCATTCCACCTTCCCTCTGCCCCAGGGAAGCCACTGTACCTGCACATCGGCGAGGAGATAGACGGCGTGGACATGCGGGCTGAGGTCGGGCTCCTGAGCCGGAACATCGTGGTGATGGGGGAGATGGAGGACAAATGCTACCCCTACAGCAACCACCTCTGCAGCTTCTTTGACTTTGATACCTTTGGGGGCCACATCAAGGTACGGGTCTGCCTAGCTGAGGCTGTCACCCCAGCCAGGAACATTGCAGGTGGTCCAGGATCCCCGGGAGTGACGGGCGTGGGGGCATGGAGCTGGAGGCAGACGTCTCTGCCTTACCCATTGACTGTGGCTGCACCTGCAGTTCTTGGGAATGGAGAGATGATGGCACCAACTTGTGCCACGTTGTTCCTGGTGGGCTGCATTGCCCGCTTCCTCTCTGTCTCCGTCTCCCGTCTTCTCTAGCCTATCCCGGTCCCTTCCCAAAAGCACTAGCACTGAACTTGGAAAGACCAAGTATGATACAGAGAAAACAGCCGGCATGGGAGAGAAGCTGGGATTTCACATTAACTTTACCTGTGGGTTTCCTGATGAAGAGGCAAAGCAGAGACAGATGTGCTGGGTAGCCCCGCCAAGTTTTAGCTATGCAGTAAAAAGCAGTTCAAGCTCCTGGGTGCTGTCTTTTCACATGGACCTCAAGGGGAGATTTCCTTTGCATGTTCTGCCTATTAGATGGTACAAGACACCCACAAGCTCTCCATGAGGCCACTGGTTGCAACACCGACGACTTAATACTTTGGACTCATGGAGAGAGTTCTCGTAAAGCAATAATCCTGTGCTTCACGCATGGAGGCCTGGTGGCATTTCAGATGCGTCAGTTATTGTCACTAACACAAATACACCCACACATTTCCAGTCCTTTCCTGGTGAGAGAGTGGGACAGTGAGACCATAGTAGACACAGTGCATAAGTGTCACACACGCTGCTGCAGGCCCTCCCCATCCTGGGAGGCACCAGAGTGACAGGGGGGACCCCCGCCACTGAGCCAAACCAGGTCACAACACAACTCTCAGGGTCCCTCCCACGGCTGGCCATCCCATGGCCCCTCATTGGGGGAGAAGGGTCAGTATTTCAGGATCCTTCTCCTCTAGAAGCTGGCTGAGCTCATTGGGACAGGATTCTGTCCGCACCCTGCTCCGTCTGTAAGCTTCTGGACCACAGGCATGGGTGCCACCCGTGGTTTCCAGAGGTGCCAGGAGCAGCTCTGAGCTACTGGGAAAGGAACCCGTGGGCATCTCTGCTCTTGCACATGTGCCACATACCAGGGGTTCAGGGAGTCCTGGATCGTGCGTGCCCCCCGCCTCCAGGAGAAGGTCTCACGTGGCCCGTGGCACAGGCATTGCCCAGAGTCACTTGCAGCTTCCATTCCCAGCTCTTCGGGTTGCCCAGGGACACCCCTTTCCTAACACCAGGTGTCTGGGAGGCAGGGAGGAAGGTCAGAGTGGCCCAATATTGTGCAGCCCCCAGTGTCCGCCACAACAGTCCCTGTCTTGCCATCAATAAAGTTTCGCTCCTCCCACGGGGTAGGAAGAGCTGTGGCCCCTAACCCACATGCACAAGACATCTCTTGTTTGCTGGACCCCTAGGGGCGGGCACTAGAGTGTACCATGAGCACAGCAGTGCTATGTTTTGGGGTCGTGGGGGCTGGAAGTCCCTGGTCCCCCTGACCCTCTCTTTCCCTTCCCAGTTTGCACTGGGGTTTAAGGCCGCACACCTGTCGGGCGTGGAGCTGAAGCACATGGGGCAGCAGCTGGTGGGTCAGTACCCGATCCACTTCCACCTGGCAGGAGATGTGGACGAGCGGGGTGGCTATGACCCGCCCACTTACATCAGGGACCTCTCCATCCACCACACGTTCTCTCGCTGTGTCACCGTCCACGGCTCCAATGGCCTGTTGGTGAGTGTCCCAAGGTGGGGAGGGTGAGCCCTACAAGGCCCAGGCTCCAGAGAAGCCTCCCCAAAGGGCAGGTCCAGCCAGCCAGGAAGGGAAGGTGGCTGGGTCCTCCCAGAGTAGCTAGTTAGTTGGCCATGGATGCTCACTGCAGTGGTGAGCAGCCACAGTGCTGGGTTGGAAAGATGAGGTTTGTGGCTGGGTGTGTACCTGCTGCTCCCCACGGCACAGAGCTCCCTGGGCTTGCAGCCTGGCTGGACCCTGTTTCCATGGTGGGTGTGCTACATTTTCTTTCTTCTTTTGAAGGATCTATCATGGCTGACTAGCTTAGCTGATAGGACCAAAGCAGACACAGTAGACACACACGTGACTCTGGCCTAGAACACAGAGAGCGTGCAGCAGCAACATCCTGGGAGTCTTCCCATCATGTGTCCAGGGATGACTTGGGTCTCAGAGAGGCACCACAGACTGCAGGGGAGGTTCTGAGTTGTGTGGTGCTGAACGATGTCTTGGGGCCACACCGCATGGGTCCCACGGCCCCAGAAGCCCCACCAAGAGAGCCAAGGGTCTCTACTGCTGCCCAATGCAGGTGTGGGCTCTCCTCCCCCCTCTGAGGACTCTCCTCATCCTGCCTGGTCTGGCAGTTATCTGTGCAAGGGCTCCTATGGTGCTGTAGTTAAAGAGCAGAGTCACAGAGAGGGAAACCCCCTGAGAAGCGGCTTCCAAGGGCCCACAGGAAGATTAAGCCAGACAATATACCTGGCACGTTTGCACTGACGTTAAATAGTGTTGTCAGCCCAGGCCTCTGTGTTCTGGGTGGGGCCTCACTGGCTGGGGTGGGCTGGGGAAAGGGGTCAGTGCCCTGAAGCCAGAGGGGTCTCAGCAGAGAGCATCGGCCACGAGCCCTGGTCCTTCCAGGATACTTGCAGGACGTACAGAGGATGGCTGGGTGTGGGAGGAGCAAGCGGGAGAAGAACACAGGTCCTGTCCCTTCCTCCCGGGGTCCTGCTCCGAATGTACCCTTGACAGAAATGCCCCTGACAGCCACCAGGTGCTCGAGGGCTGGATGGCCCTGTGACCCACACGCTGCACTGGTCATGTGGGAAGCCGTACAAGTGGGCCGCAGCTGGCCCCGGGTTCTCCAGCCTTGTGGCCATGCCCTTGCTTGGCTTTCTCCTGAAGCCAGTGGGAGACCTAATGCCACTCTCTAGCCCTGCAGCCCCCACATGTGAGAGTGGCTGCTGGCCTCCTGGTTCTCCCGTCTTCCAGTTCCCTGATCCATCCTCATCCTACTTCTGTAGATTCTCCACTTTCCTCTGCCCAGGAGCCCTAGGTAGGGCCTAGATTCTGTATTTGGTACAGGGTCTCACTACATAGCAATTCAGACTCGTAGTGATTTTCCTGTTTTCAGCCTCCCCAGCACTGGGATTACAGACATGCACCACCACGCCCGGTCTTGGTGGCCAGCTCGGCACACCCAGCACAGCATGTGGTACCAGGGATCGAACCCCGGCCCCTGTACTTACCTAAGCAGACGCTTAGTCCTCTAAGATATGCCTGTGGCTAAGGGCCCAGACTCTTGTCCTTGATTCTCCCAAAGCTTCCTTGGCCCAGTGCTTTTCCTGGTATCCTTGGTGGGGAAAAGGAGGAGGGATGCCGTGCAGGTGGGTGCAGAAGTTCATAGCAAGAAAGGTGGAACACATCTCTCTTTTCAGGGTCCCTCTGCAGACCATGGGCTTCCTGTGGGTTCCACTCACCCTCTCTCCTTGCCAATGCCCTCCCTGCCCCTCCAGACCCACCTGCCTCTCCTCATCCCTTCTGTGCCCCCTGAGAAATCCATTACTGCTAGCTGGGAGACTGAGACAGGAGGATCACAAGTTCAAGCCCAGCCTGGAGACTTGAACAACTTGGAGAGAACCTGTCCCAAAATTTAAAATAACAAAAAAACTTTTAAAGAGGGCTGGAGATGTAGCTCAGTGTGAAGGCCTGGGGTTTAATCCTCACAATTCTCAAAAACAAACCCAAAAACAAAACATTCATCTTTCTCCTCACCAGGCAGAGCATTTTCCTTCTGTTTCCCTTTTCAGCTTCTGTCTACATTTACATATTCAAAAACTCATTAAGACACTGCAAGAACAGATAGCCCACCACCTCATTCCCAGGCAATCTGCTCTTCAGCTGTTCACAAGAGATGTTTTCCATGATGGTAGAAGCTTGGGAATCAGTTTTCGTTTTAACAGAACTACACAGTAGTTATTGTGGAGTTTCTCACTAACATGTATTGTACCATATCCACCCCAGTGGTGGGGACAAGGTCTACCTTCCTTTAGGATCTAGGACCCCTGTAAGAATCCTCACTGCTTGAGTCACACATAAAATGACACTGAATTTGCCTGTGACCTATGCATACCCTTGCACAATAACACCTCTAGGTGCTTTATCACCTAGCACCATTTGAAAGCTGTATTAAGTCTTCAGCTGTTGGTAGGTGTGATCTAGGCTTGTGATTGTGAAGAAGAGACACAGAAAGAGTCACCGAACACTGCTCCCATGAGTGTAACCCTTCTACCTAGGAGCTGCTGGCAGGTGACATGGGACAGGTGCTAGTGATTGGCTGCTGTTCCTCATGGTTGAGGGAATGATGACAAGGAAAAGTTAGTGTGTGCTTTGTATGGGTACAAGTTTTTAAAATTTTCATCTGAGATTGATTGAACACAGAGCTGCCATCCGATAGACCCAGGGGACCAACTATGTAATTACTTTCTGTTTGTATTTGTTTGTTTTCAAAAGCAATTTCCAGGTTTTGTTGCAAGTCTTAACCCCTGGGTGACTATGTCCGGGTTTGCATGGAACAGTAGTTTTAGACCTGTCCCATGTCACCTGCCAGCAGCTCCTTCTAGGTAGAAGGGTTACACTCGTGGGAGCAGTGTTTGGTGACTCTTTCTGGGTCTCTTCTTCACAATCACAAGCCTAGATCACACCTGCCAACAGCTGAAGACTTAATACAGCTTTCAAACATTGCTTCCATGCTGGGCAGGATGGCGTGTGCGTGTGACCCCAGCCCTCAGGAGGCTAAGGCAGGAGAACTGCAGGAAGTTCGAGGCCAGCATGGGCTCCATAGTGAGTTTAGGCTAACCTAAAGTACACAGCAAGAAAAGACAGCGTGTCTCAAAAGAAGAAGAAGAGGAAGGAGAAGGGGGAGGGGAACAAGAAGAAGAAGAGAAGGAAAGAGGGAGGGAGGGAAGGAAGGAAGGAAAGAAGAAAGGAAGGAAGGAAGAAAGCAAGCAAGCTTCTTCAAAATTTCAAGCCATGAGGACAAATTTGTGCAAGAGAAGGCCAGTGGCTGACAGCACTCGGTTGCACAGATAGAGACTGGGCAGCCACTGGGTCTTTTTATCCAGCTATGCCTACCTGTCACAGGTCTGTCTTCAGTCTACCTATCATCTCAAGCTGTGTCACTGTGCAAGAACTCAATTCTGGGAAGTGTGCTAAGGAGGAATAATGCTAAGGTGTTAGGGTTGAAGGGGACCTCAGAAGCCCCCAGTCACACAGCAGGTCTGTGGCTGAGAGACAACTGGAGCTGCGACCCTCCCCCACCCCCACCCCCCACCCTCAGGCCTCCCTTCCCTCCCACTCCTCTCCTGCTTGTGAGTGCTGGGTTCACCCATTCCTAACCAGAAGGGAACAGTGTGGCCCTGAGCGGTGGTTTTCCTTCTTGGAAATGTTGAGTTTGATTAGCAGTCAAGTTATGCACCAGACAGATGCGAGAGATGGGACCCAGCTCTGTTCCTTGCAAATGCGGTGATGTGGGGTCCCTTTCCAAGGCTTGATGTTACCAGCAGTGTCCTGGTTGTGTTGAATTTCACATGAGAAAATGAGAGAATGTAAAGCATTCTAATCGGTCATGGTTGCTTTTCTTCCAATCGTTGAGGCCCCCTCCCCAGCAGTCGCCAGGATCTGGGAGGGAGTCCCTTGTCATCCACTTCCCTTTGGGGAAAGGCTGCCTGCCGCACTGCCCAGGCAGCAAGGTCAGTGTGCGTAGGGGCTAGAAAGATCAGTGTGTGTGGGGGCCAGACAAGGACCCTGGAAGATAGTGGGCTCCACTGTGAGGCTGCCTGGTGCCCCAGGACACCCACATCCCTCCTCCAGGGCCACTTCCTCCTCTGTGAAGGAAGCCATTTGGCCTTGTAGTGAAGACCCTGCCACACGAGCCATACGTGGGCTCTAGCCTTTGCCCCCAGCTCGTCCTCCCAGGCTATTTATAGCAAACTTCCGGTGCTGACCAGAAGCCAAGGAGATGACCTTGGCACGGGCTGAAACGGGCACTGAAGGAGTGAGTGGGGCTCAGGCTCATGCCCTCCCCCATGCCCAAGAAGAAGGGAGGGGCTTTGTTGTCCAAGAGAATTGGGGCTTTGTTGGAGGAGGGTGGCTTGTGAGCCTGCCTCATCCCTTGTGTAGCGAATGGGTCCAGCTACAAAACCAAAGGTGGAGCACCGAGGGCCGTGTGGCCTTGGGCAAGTCACATTTCTTCTCTGAGCCTTGTTTTGCTCATCTCCAAAAAACCAGTCCATTAGAGGATTGTGTAAGATTTCAGCAAGGCGTAGGGTTGTACGAGGTCAGCCCTGAGCCTGGCCAGGAAGGGGCTTGGCTTGGGAACCTCCCAAGTCTGGCTGCCTGGATCAGTGCTTCTCAACCAGGAACGGTCTTGTCACCATCCCTGCTCACCCCCTGGGACATCTGGCAATGAATGTTGAGACAGTGTTGACTGTCACAGCCGAGGAACTGTGTTGGCATCCAGTGGCAAAAGCCAGAGATGCCTGCGTGGATGGGGCAGCCCCACACAATGCTGGCAGCTCCAAGGGGCCGCGCTTCTGTGTGATGTGTGGACTTTCTAGCGCTTGGCACATAGTGGGCACCAAGCTGACATCAGGGGGAAGTGAGAATTCTTGCTTGTGGGTGAAGCCCTGGGCAGTGGTCAGTATCCAGAAGTAGAGGAAGGTGGCCTGGCACTGCCTCCTGGGGGCGAGCATCTCCCCTTCAAGCTGGACAGAAACAGCCCCTGCCCCAGGGGCCTGCAGCCAGGGTCTGGCTGGGGACAAGAACTCAGGCAGGACCCTCAAGGACCCCCCCCCCGCCCCCAGTTCTAAGACTAAGCAGTTTGAACACGGCCCTGGGAGCACAGGGGCCATGGACCCAAGGCCTAGCTTTGCAGTGGGAAAGTGACTGAGGACCAGCCCAGGGCTGGCAGGCTGCCAGTGCTCACCCTGGCCTCTGGCTTCCCCAGTGATGAATGAAGAGCTGGTGCTACAGGGGCCACTGGCTGTGCCCTGCAGGGTCCTCGGCTGCATGTGGGCTGTCCCTGCCCCCTGAGCAAAACTCTCTCCACACCTCTCAGGGCCTCCTGACCCTGTTAACTTGGCAGGGTGGATACATAGGGCCTTGTCCCAGGCCACCCCACAGAGCCTCAGCTGCAGCACCTCCAGGGACGTTAAAGAGTCCCTTTTCTGTCCCCCGGCCCTGCCCTCTCCTGCCCTCCCACACTTGGGACAGGCTGGCTTCCAAACCCCCAGCGCTCCTCAGAGCGCCCGTCGCTGGGCTGACGCTTTCATGTCTGCTGAGAGAGTGTGAGTGCACAAGTGACGGCTGCCGGGCGAACGTGCATGTCGGCCCTGCAGGTCCAGAACATCGTGGGCTATAACTCTCTGGGCCACTGCTTCTTCACGGAGGATGGCCCAGAGGAACGCAACACATTTGACCACTGCCTCGGCCTCCTCGTCAAGCCTGGAACCCTCTTGCCCTCCGACCGAGACAGCAAGATGTGCAAGATGATCACAGAGGACTCCTACCCTGGCTACGTGCCCAAGCCCAGGCAGGACTGCAAGTGAGTGCGCTGGGACAGGGCAGCAGGCAGCCAGGCAGGTGGGAGGAACCTCTGCTCTCAGCCCTGTCGCTTCCCTCCCTGGCTGAGTCTCCGTTCTGCATAGAGAATCACAGGCCTCTGTTGGAGGGAGCTCTGTGCCCTGCAGCTTCTCCCGGAGGGCAGCAGTGAAGGAGGCAGATGCTCCGGGAGGGGCTCAGCCTTCACCACCTCTGCCTCTTCCACCACTGTGCGGGCTCTTCAGAGATCCTGGTGCTCAGATGGGTGCGGCAGTGCTCTTTCTCAAGATGCACCAGGTGGCAGGGCGGGTGCTGGCGGCCTTTGTGACACTGTCCCTCTCTACCCTCTCCCCAGTGCGGTGTCCACCTTCTGGATGGCCAATCCCAACAACAACCTGGTCAACTGCTCTGCAGCAGGGTCAGAGGTGAGGCACTGTGCATGCCAAATGGCGGGGAGCATTGGTCCGGGATGAGTGTCCAGGACTCGGTGCTGACGCTGGGTGGCTCTGGCTGGTGCGTGCTCAGCACTTTGTGACACCTCATGATGAGAAGGAAGTTGCTTCCCTTAGGGTGGTGCCTGGCACCTCAGTGTTGTAGGCAAGTGTCCTCGGTGGGCCACAGGCTGAGGGCCATTGTGGGGAAACAGGCAGGGGCTGGGGTTCCTGGGCCCACAGGAGGGGACTGTCATGCTGTAATGACTCTGAGGCCTGGCAGTCAGCCTAGTGGGCAGTGCAGAAGGACCCTGGAGGGCTCTGATGGGAAGATGGACCCCACTGTACAAGTCACCCAGCCCTCTTGGTAGCTCCTGCCTGGACAGGGAGCCACAGAGGCCACAGACCCATGTCCCCAGTGCTACCCCTCAGTCACCTTTCTGAAGCTCATGGTGCCACATCTTATGGCTTCCTTCCCGTCTCTCCCACAGGAAACAGGGTTCTGGTTCATTTTCCACCATGTGCCGACGGGCCCCTCAGTGGGGATGTACTCGCCGGGGTACTCCGAGCACATCCCACTCGGCAGATTCCTCAATAACCGCGCTCACTCCAACTACCGGGTGAGTCTTACCACCGGGCCTCCAGGCCACCAACAGTTGGTGCAGGGGTTCAGAGTTCTGCTCCCTGTGCAGGTCTGGGAGAAATCAGGCGGCCCCATTGCCCTCCATGAGAGAGGTCTGGGGCCTGCGCTGCAGTGATTACGTGTGGCCAGCTCTCCTTCCCTTGGGCTCTTTGGGGGGGTCCCTGGCTGAGCATCAGCTTGATTCTGTGACCCACTGTGGGTTGGAGGTGTGACTATGGAGACACAGCCTGGCCCATAAGTGAAGGAAAAGTAGGACGTGGCTGGAAGAGGAAATTGCTGTGGCATGCTTGCATGTGTCCCCTTTCTGCTCTGTGTCTAGGGCAATAGTGGCTCTGTCCACAATGAGCCACACAGACGGTGGGGAAGTGAGAGGATCCTCTGCCACCCTCACGCCTCACTGGCCTTCCTAAGTGCCCACCATGCATCAGTGCAGGTGCTGGGGAAGGGAATGGGGCCTCAAGGCCATTAGGGGCCTCCCACAGAGTTAGTGGCTAACATCAGAGCCACGGAACTTGGCCCAGAGCTTGGGTGAGGCTGAGACCAGAGATGCTTCCTGGGAGAACCTGGTCCTGAAGATGCTGGGCCATGTGTAGACAGAATGGTGCTTAGGTCCAGTTCCTAAAGATACAGATGAGAGGACTTAGGTTCCTGTAGGGGGCTGGATACTTCTTGTGTCAAAGAAATACTTTAAAAAGTCCCACTGGGGGAGAAGGAGGAGATGCAACCTCAGAGCAGGCCTGTGCTTACACCTGACAGGGGACTGGGGGCAGAGACCTCAGAAACCAGGGTGGAAGGTGGTGTTCTGGAGGAAGCAGCGTTGCCCTGCAAATAGAACCTAAGAAACCTGCCATGGAACTTCCCACACCAAGGCTGGTGGCATGGCTGTGTCCTTGCTGGGGCAGGAACCGTGGAGAGAGTGGTGGCTGTTTGCTGGGAAGTGGCCTGACCTGGGCGTCAGGAGTGACCTAATTGTGTGAGTGCAGAGGAGGTTCCCTCCCACGGGTCAGGCCTCAAGCCCTGACTGCACACCTCCGCAGATGGGGCTTCCCCAGAGTGGGTCCCAGTATTTTGATCCTCACAGCTGTGCAGAGGAACAGGTGTGGTCAGCCTCTTCTGCAGATGATACAGCCAAGGCTAAGGAGGGGAGGGGCCTTGACTAAGGCCTGTGGGAGCAGGGCTGGGGCTCTCAGCCCATGGGACCAATACTGAATCATAAGCCAGTGAGGGTGCTCAAGCTGGGGTCTGCCAGGCCCCTACATAAGTGATCAAGAGAGGCCCAATGGCCTAGGAGGTAAGGAAGATGGGGTGGAGAGCAGACAGCAACAGCCTGTGGTGGGTAAGGGGGATGCCTTTGGAGTCAATGAGGCCAGGTTCCCTGTTTATGTCAGGCAGGAGTCAAGAGGAGCAGGAGGCGGCTGCCCGAGGTGGATAAAGGGTGGCTGAACTTCAGCATCTCCTTTGCATCTCTTTGGACAAGGGTCCCAGGGTGCATACCTGCGTCCTTGCTTTAGAGCCTGGGATAGTAGCTGTCTGGACAGGGTGGGTTCTGTGTGTGGACTTTGCTGACAGGATAGTCAGACTGTCTAGGCCTCAGTTTCCCCATCTGCAGAGACTTCGATCAGAACCGGTCTGTCAGAGAAGAACGTGGCAGGCTGTCCCCTCCCCTGCTGTAGACCCTCTGCTCTGTGTATGCAGCCTCATGACACAGCTGGTTCTGCTGCATGTTCAAGAGTGAAGCTGGGCATCAGGCGATGCTTACGATCTGCGGCAGCAGCTAACATGTCCCTGATGTCCCCTGCCCCCAGGCTGGCATGATCATAGACAATGGGGTCAAAACCACCGAGGCCTCTGCCAAGGACAAGCGGCCGTTTCTGTCCATCATCTCAGCCAGGTAAAGCTACCCAGGAAGCCACACGCCGTGCAGCCTCTGGCCCAGCCCAGCTCTACTTGCACCTATCACCGTGCTGGCCTTCCCTGAGCCCCTTCTACAGGCCGGACCTCCAGGTGGTTTTCGGGGTGCTGAGGGGCAGGTCTGAGCAGGGAAACCTGAATGAGGGTTTGGGCGCCAGTAGCCAAAGGGAGACAGACATTCCTAAGGCTTCTGGGTCCTGCCAAGTGATACCTCCTAAGTCAGCAGGGTGGCCAGCACCACTGCAGGGCAGGCCACAGACAAAGGACTCCCTGTGAATGCAGTGAGCTGCAAACCATCCTGGAGATCAGCGGGAGACAAGAGCTGCTGTCAGTTCTCCAGGTCAGCAGCAAAAGCAGCACCCTTGAAAAGTCTCAGGGCTTGGTCTCCTTCAGAAGTGGGTAACACTAGCAACACATTCATGTCGTTTCTCTAGACTGGATGCAGTGAGTGTTCCAGGCCCAGAAGTCCATTGGTAGCTACAGAGTGCCTGAGAGAGGCAGCTTTGCAGGCTACTGGCCATTGCTGGGGAGCTGGGTGTGTTGACATCCTTTGCCAGCCCTGCAGGCAGCATCACTCCTGGAAGGGCCTGGCTATCTGAACTCTCCCTGGAACTTGACTGCACTCAGGGGAGGGCTCTCTGGTGGGGCTGATGGATGAGAAGGGTGGTGTATTTGTGGCTGTCTAGGGCTGGGCCTGCCCCTGCGACGAGCTCAGGAAGGTCTCAGAGCCTGGCTGGGGCGGATCAGCTCTGCTCCTTAGCACCGCTGGGCTCCTGGCCCCGAAAGGCATGGGTACCGAAGCCCCCCAGCGCCCACACCTGTGTTCCAGGTACAGCCCACACCAGGACGCCGACCCGCTCAAGCCCCGGGAGCCTGCCATCATCAAGCACTTCACAGCCTACAAGAACCAGGACCACGGGGCCTGGCTGCGTGGTGGGGACGTGTGGCTGGACAGCTGCCAGTGAGTTGGGTAGTGTGTGGCACGGCTAGACATAGTATCCTGTGGCCTCGTTTTCTCCTGGCTGGGCAGTGACCGGAAGGGCAGCAGGCAGGGGCCAGAGGCATCTGTAACAAACCCTGAGGCCAGGCAACTCAGTGGCTTCACTGTTGTGATTGGTCCCAGCAGTCACTGGGCTTCTCTGTCCCAAGGTCGCCAGACCAGGCAGCACAGGGAGGGAGAGGAAGTCAGGAAATCAGAGCTGGGCTGTTTTTCCTTCTGACTGTTCTCCTTACTGCTGCCAGCTAGGGCTATAAAGTGAGGCTGTGTAGTGAATTTCTCTAGGCTATGTGACCAGGAAGTGAATGGCCAAGGACTTGACGCTAATCCTGGATTCATCTCACCTAAGATTGCTGAGCAGAGAGCCCTTGGTCCCACTGGGCAGGGACCAGAAGGACAGCGGCAGGGCAGGGACATCTTGAGGGAGTGTTGAGAGGCATCCTTCTTGTCTGCCTTCTTGAATCCAGACACTGGAGCGAAGACAAATGTCCCTTTTATTGTGAGGAGTTAAAGGGGAAATAAAGTGCAGGAGTGTGTGAGGAGGGAAACAGAGTCACAGAGGAGATGACAGAAAGAGGCTGCTGAAAAGGGTAGGGCTAAGGAGAGGCTGATCTGAGGCCAAAGCTGGGCCATGGGAGAAGGCCTGGGATGCAAAGGAACATCACTGAACGAGCATAAGTGGGACCTTTGTGTTATGCAGGAGAAGAGGCCAGTAGCTTAGAGGAGGTGGCAGGAACAAAGGGAGCCAGTGTGGGGTTCTGAGGGCCCTGTCAGGAATCGGGCACTTGCTCTGGTGGCTTTAGAGTGTGGAGGTGGCCACCATGATGGACTGTAGCTGAGCAGGGTAGGTCTTCCCACCATGAGTTCCAGCACAAAGCCCAGGGGCCCCCGAGAGAGAGCACGAAGGGCAGGGTGGAAGTCTGAGGGAAGAAGCCGGGTGGGCTCATGCCGAGATCCTCTGCCGTGTTCTAAGTACAACAGATTTCTCGGCTCTGCTCTTCTGGGCACGTTGACATTCAGTCCCTGCAGAGACATTAAATGCCAGACATGGGTCAGCAAATGCTTCAGGGCCTCTTCCATCAGGGTGTATCTTCCGACATCCTCTCAGTCTCATTCCAAGGCAGCCTAGAAGCCAGCTAGCCCAAGGCCACAGTTGACAGCTTGCCTGATCAGGGACCAAAGGGATCCAGGGGTCCCTTCAAGGATCCTGGGCATTAGGCTATTATGGCTATTTCAGGATGTGGGCGAGGGTGGGGATGCTAGCTGTGGTGCTACTGTAACTCCCTTCCCTGGTGAGCGAGCCATAAGTAATTCGAGCTGGGTGGAACTGAGCCTTTGCGTTAGGAGCGGGCTGTGCGGAAGACCGCCGTACTATTTTAGGTATGTTACATTTGAGTTGCTGGGGCAGTATCAGTGAAGATGCCCAGACTTCAGAAAGGCAGGAAGAGTGGCTGGTGTCAAAGGCACAGCAGCAAGAGGAGGAAGCCCATGAACCCCCAGGAATGGAGGGCAGCACGAAGGGGTACTGAGAGCTGGGGCAAAGGCCTGGGACAGAATCTAGAAGCTTTAGAAGAAGGCTAGAGAGCAGCATGCCAAGGAACATGGCCTGCAGGGACTGATTCGCACCGGGGGTCTGTAAGGGTGGAAGAAGGAAGCGGCAGGTCCTGTCCAGCTGCGGCCTGGGTGGGGCACAGCAGAGGAAGCACTGAAGCTCAGGGCCAGCCTGAGGACTGGGTATGGGTTAGCAGGTGGCCCAGAACCCTTGGAGATTCAGGGAGCAGTGTGGTGTGGGAGAGGAGAGGCAGGATGAGTGTGGAACGGGCTGGGGGAGCAGAGACCCCTGACGCCTGCCTGAGGTGGAGGATAAAGAACTGGTGCTGGCCAGAGGCTCAGCTCAGATTCTGCATGGCTTTCATCCTTGGAGACGCAGCTCCCTGCAGACGCAGAGGTCCCGGTGCTGCAGGAAGGGCAGCAGGCAACCTCAGGGCAATGGCAGGCTCTGCCCACTCCCCCAGCTGAACCTGCCTGCCTTCCCTGAAGCTTGGAAGTGAGAAGTTTGTAGGTTTGGACAGAGCTCAGTGGATTAAAGCGCCTGCTTAGGCATAAACAGGGGCCAGAGGTTCGATCCCCGGCCTGCCATGTCGACCCTGCAAGGAAGTGAGATGTTTGTGTTTCTCTGAAATAGTTGTAAGGATGCGGAGGAAGTGAACTGCAGCTTCAGAGCCTTTCCCGCTCAAGGTTGGCCCAGTTCCCTAATCCAGCCCCTAGTCCTGGGTCACAGACTGTGGTGGGCTCAATGGGGCCCTTCCCCCAACCTGTAAGAGGACAACGCGGGCACCAGCCAGCCCAAGAGCCATGGGGTCACCTGTATCTCTGGAGTCAGAGGCAGACTGAGAGGGACCTAGATTATACCTCTGCTGGGTGGCGGGCAGACTCGAGAGGGCTGGATGTGTTGCCCCACCAGACAGGACTGACAGCACACTGACCATCTATCTGCTCTTGTCCCTAGGTTTGCTGACAACGGTATTGGCCTGACCTTGGCCAGGTAAGAGCAGGGTCCTCATGCACCACTCCTGTCTGTGGGTACCCAGGGCATCTGTCTGAGCAACCCTGTCCTGGGCTTCTGCTGCCAGTATCTTCTCTCCACAGCGGTGGGACCTTCCCATACGATGAAGGCTCCAAGCAAGAGATCAAGAACAGTTTGTTTGTGGGAGAGAGCGGCAACGTGGGCACAGAAATGATGGACAACAGGATCTGGGGCCCAGGAGGCCTGGACCACAGTGGAAGGACCCTCCCCATAGGCCAGTAGGTTTGCAGTCTAACGCAGCTGGGTGGCAGTGAGTGCTGAGCCTCAGCGGGGTCGCAGGAGAAGTGAGGTGGTGATGTCTGTGTGGGGCTGGAAAAGCTGCTGTCCCTGTAGCTGGAGGAGTCACTGAAATGACTGAGGCTGACAGTTGAGGGACAGACTGTGTAAGGGGGAAGCGAAGTGAGAGTAAATCAGGGTTGAAGATGAGCGGAGATAGTGGCCTGGCCTGGTCTGGTAATGGGAATCTGGTGCACAACGAGGGACCTCGAGTCCCTGTCCCTTGCTGCCCTCCTGGGTGGCAGCATGAACATCATGTACAGGAGAGTGACAGTGTGGCCACCCCGGAGGCTGCAGTGTCTCCTGCAGATGGGGAGCCATCCTCGCTTGGGAGACATCACCTTGGGGAAGATACAGGCTGGGGTCTGCCAAGCGTAAGAGATGTAGGCCCCCGGGAGAACTGGCTCAGCCAGGAGACCTTCCTGGAAGCCAGGTGTGCACTCCAGCTGAGTAGCTGGACTTCCTTGGAGTCGCAGGCTGTGAGGCATTCAGGGGAGGAGCAGGTGGCTGGATGCGGAGCTGGCATGAACAGCTCTGGGGGCAGCCCAGCCTGGGGCAGCGCCTCCCTCCACCAGTGCCTCTGCTGAGGCACCAGGCTCTCAGCCCACAGCCATCCTGTTCTCTGAGTGACAGGATAGGATCAGCCCTTCTTGAACTCCTGTGGTTTCTTCTTTTCCTCCCTGAAAGTTTAACTCCTGTTGCTAGAGTCAGGACACAAAGTCCAGAGACCTAACACTCCCAACTTGTTAGGTTCATTCATATGCCCAGAAAGATTTGATAAAGGCAGGATCCTGGCCTCCTGTGGTGTGAGCTGGGAAGCCCCGGCTCTGTGCAGCTTGCAGGATGCGGGAGCTCTTCCAGCATCTTCGTGCTGACACTGTCTGGTACTTAGGGTTTCTTTGCAGAGGGCTCCTGCCTTCCAGGGCCACATGTTCTGATGACTTGCAGGCACGTGTGTGCCCAGGATGGTACCCACTGGGGCTGGTTCATTCCGAACAGAACTGGGTTAGATTCAAAGTTGAAGAAGCACAGAACTCAGCTATGTGTTAGCAGAATGGGCTGGGCCCAAAATCCTTTGTGGAAAAACACATGAATCCTAAGGACCAGGAATCCAGGTGACAGCATTAATCAGTTACAAAAACATGGAAGTGCAGGGAATATTTCTTTTTAATGTATTTGGTACAAGGTCTCACTATGCAGCTCAGACTCATAGTGATCCTCCTGTTTTCAGCCTCCCCCGAGCTGGGATTACAAGTGTGCACCACCACACCCTTCTCAGTGGCCAGCTCAGCCTGCCCAGGGGTGGTACTGGGGATCGAATCTGGGTCCCTGTGCTTGCCCACGCAGGTGCTGAGTTCACTGAGCTATCTCACCAGCTCTGGGAATCTTTGTTGTGCCCTGAAGGACTGTCTTAGGTACTTTTCTCTCGCTGCTGAGATAAAATTATCTGATGCCGAAAATTAAGGAGGAAAGGTTTATTTAGCTCACGGTTTGCAGAAGTTTCAATCCATAATCAGCCGGCTCCAAGGCAAGGTGGCATGGTGCAGGGGTTCATAGTGGCAGAAGACAGCAAAACCAACAAGAACAGACAAGAGAGGAGAAAGAGAGCAAGCCTCTTTCCCTTCTATATATTGTATGAGGCTGCCTGCCCAGGATAGTTGTGCCACTCACCCATAATCCCAGCACTGGACCACAAATCAGTCACAAACTCTAGAAGCCCACGCCATGGTGGCATGAAGCTGCAGGATGGGGGGGACATTTAGACGCAAACCATAACAAGGGAACTGGAGGGAGGGTAAGCTGAAAACAAGACTAGGACAACAGGGCAGTGTTCTTCCCCAGGGATAATCCCTCCTGTCCTCTCTTTTGTATGCTCCCTGTGGAAGTGTTGGGCCTGCCTCAGTGTAGAGTCTTCAGCAGAAGCACCCATGCTAGGCCTGCAGTTGCCCAAGCCGAGATTTGTGGCCAGGTCCAAGAGAGGCCAACGGGTAGCCCAGCTGCTCCTTCTTGGGCTCTGCTCCCCAGGACCTGCTTGGGAGTCTGAGGCCCATGCCCTGCAGCCTCCAGGCCCGTTATTGTTTCTGGATCAACAGCCTGTAGCTCTTCCCACCTCTCCTTCCTGCCATCCAGGGCCAGGCCTCCTGGAACCTCTCCCACTCTAATCCTGCCTTCCTAGCCGGGTCTTCTTTCCCTTTGGAGGTGCTGAAAAAGCCATGCTGCAGTCGCATTTACTGTCCTCCATTCTGTGTCTTCCCCGTTTCCCAAACCCAACACACTGCCAGATGAAAGGCTTACTCACAAAGAGAAACTTATCTGGGTCTCAATCTGATTTAATTGTTATAGCAACTAAAACTAAGGCGGTAATGACTAACAGGGCTGTCCTCCCAAGGGACATAATATTGGCCCTCTCCAGTAGCATTTACAGTATTTACCAATGACTGTTCACATGATGGGGAAATTGGGGGGACAGATGTTTAAATGGAGGGCCTTCACTAAGCCTCAAGCTAGCAACTAGACTGACTAGACTAGACTCATCTGTCTTCCACTCATCCACCCACCCATCTGTCCACCTACCCGTCCATCGTACACCTACTTATCCACCCACCCACCTATACATCCACCCACCCATTTGCACTCACCCACCCATTCATACATTAGCTCACCCACAGTGTGCCCATCTATTTATCCACCCATCGGTCTGTCCATTCACTCATCCATCCATCCATCCATCCATTTATCCATCCACCCACCCATTTACCCACCCTACCATCCAGTCATTCATTCACACAACAATCGTTCACTGATATTTATTGTTTGTGCATATGCTTTCTCAGTGAATTAATTAATGGTTCATTAATGATTTGGGGGTAGAGGAGTTGCTGGGGGTAACAATCAGGAATGGCTTTACCCACAAAGTCTCTCTTAACATCCAGCTCAGAAGAGGAACTGACGTGCTGTTCAGACTGACGTCCAGCTCTCTTCACTCCACAGGAATTTTCCGATCAGAGGAATCCAATTCTATGATGGCCCCATCAACATACAGAACTGCACCTTCCGGAAGTTCGTGGCCCTGGAGGGTCGGCACACCAGCGCCCTAGCCTTCCGCCTGAACAACGCATGGCAGAGCTGCCCACACAACAATGTGACTGGCATTGCCTTTGAGGACGTCCCGGTGCGTGAAGTGCCAGGGTTTCTGAGTGGCAGACCAGGTGGTGACTCATAGGTCCCCCGGGCAGAGGTTGGGCTGCTGCCACCCTACAAAGGGTAAATGGCCTCTTTTAAGTAAGCTGGGCCATGGCCCCGTGCTCTGCCTCCCAGCTGGAAAAGTACAGGTCCAGGTGGCCACAGGTCAAGGCAGGGTTAGAAGAAGCCTCAGGGCAGCCTGCTTGGGGCTGTCCTCCCAGGCTTTCTGTGTAGTGTCTCATGCCCGGGCCACCTGAGTCAGCACAGATCATCCAGCATACCAGCAGCTTCCCAGGGAGGTCCTTGCTAGAGGTGTCTGGTTGGTCTCAGCCTGATATTAGAGCTTAAACAGGGGCCTCCTACCCTAGGTGGAAACAGGAAAGAGGAGCCTGGGGCTAGGAGGCCCCCAGGGCTGCCCATGCACCCAGCCCCACAGACTCCTGGTACAGTTTCTCTGAGCTGTGGGTTCTTCGGCCCTTGTTCCCTTCTTCTTCCTACTCTTGCCTGACCCCAGGTCACTGGCCACTGAAGGAGAAGATAGACACGGTACCCAAGTTACTTGTGTCTTTCACTTGGGCCACCTTGTTCCTAAAGGAGGTCAGCCATGATGTTCTCCTGAGGCTTGGGCTATAAGAATTCCTGACACCCCCAGACGCGTGCTCTTACATTCACTCTCTGTCTCTCTCTGTCCAATCACACTTTCCCTTGCATCATCCCCATGCCCTACCACATCATACCACTCCTACTCTTTACCAAGCTTGGGTTCCGGTATGGTCCTTGAGCTCCCCGCCCCCATAGCACACACCCAGCAGTGAGCAGAGCCAAAACTGCCTGCCGGACTGGGAGTTGAACCTTTGACTGTTTTTCTGGCCCGCCTGTGAGGTCAGCTGGTGGTTTCCTGCAGCGCCCAAGAGCTCTTCGGTTTGGCTGGCTCCTAATGTCAGCAGAAATCGGAAACTTCACCCGGGCCTCGTGACGGCTCGGTTTCCTTGGTCTTCCGCCCGGCCTGACTTTCCTGGGCTCTGTTCAGATCACTTCCAGAGTGTTCTTCGGAGAGCCTGGGCCCTGGTTCAACCAGCTAGACATGGATGGGGACAAGACGTCTGTCTTCCACGACGTGGATGGCTCTGTGTCTGAATACCCCGGTTCCTACCTCACCAAGGAAGACAACTGGCTGGTGCGCCACCCAGACTGCATTGATGTCCCTGACTGGAGAGGGGCCATCTGCAGTGGGCGCTATGCACAGGTGAGGAGTCAGGTGGTCACACACTCACATACATGTGCCTAGTGAGCACCTACTGTACCCCAGCTCTGCACTGGGCCACAGAGAGATACAAAATTCTTTTTCTCTGTTTCTTTCTTCTTTTTCCACCTTTCTCATTAGTATTTTCACCAGACCAAATTCAAAGCTAACTTCCCCCCTAAAAATACCCCAAATAAATAAATCAATAGCTAGATAAACAAATACATCAATAACAACCCCATGCCCTTGAGAAAATACTTGGAGCTTAGGCTTCCTTATCTATAAAGTCAGAATGATGTCGGTGAGATTACAGGCTGGCATCAGGTGATGCAGATAAAATGCTTCCTCAGCCCTATGCTGTCCAAATATAACACGGAACCACACATGTAATCCTAAAGTTTCTAATGCTTATGTTAGAAAAATAAAAAGAAACAGGAAAAGCAATTTTAATGACATCTCATTTAGCTAAGTGTACTCAACATACCGTCACCTCAGTGTGCTCTGCGGTTGGTTTGGCAGCACTGGCACTCAGCATGTGACCCATACAGGATTATTAGTGAGACATTTTACATCTTTTTTCAGCTTTAAGACTTCAGAAGCCACCACACAGGGCTGGTGCGATGGCTCAGTGGTCTAAACCACCTACTTAGAACAAGCTCAGCAAAGCACAGGGACCACGGTTCAATCCCCCAGCACCACATGCCAGCCAGCCCCGCCCCCTGGTGGGCTGAGCTGGCCACACACACACACACACATAAATAAAATTTTTTTTTTTAAAAAAAGCCACCACGCATTTCATATTCACGGCCCCTCTTTTGGGATGTGAACCTGCAACAAACTGAAATGCAGTCCTCTGCTCATGAGCGAGCGGTGCTTACTGGAAAACGTGTTTTGTATTGCTTGTGTTTTGAAATTTAAATTGATTAAAATCAAATTTAAAATGAGGGTCCTGACCACACTGGCCTAGTTTCACAGGGCCACTGTATGGGACAGTGTGGCCAGAATGTGCCCGCACCAGTCAGTACTGTGCCGTGGCCAGCACCGTTGTTTAGTGAGGGAGAGAGGCCTGGGAAAACAAACAGCTGTCGGCTTAGTTCCTGCGTGCACTCCTGTAATCTCAGCTACTCGGGAAGCTTCGACAGGAGGATGGCAAGTTCAGGCCAGCCTGGCCCAACTTGTCTTGAAATTCTTAAAAAATGTAAAAGGCAAAGAGCTGGGGCTGCAGCTCAGTGGCCAACCACTTGCCTGGTTTGCGGAAGTCCCTCGGTGCCCTCCCCAGACTTGCAAAAGCACAAGCACAGGATTTTCAGGCGAAGGTTGACACTGTCTTCAAGACTGTGTCACAAGGCAGGCAGGTTTACCTCACTGTGTGTGAAGGACTGGGTGTTGTGGAAGACAGATGGGAGAGATGGGTGCTGGTCAGAGGGGAAGGCCAGCGGCAGGCAGGACAGGGTGGGAGGAGCCTGCATGGCAGGGCTCGGTTCAGGGGAAGAGGGGGTTCTTTCAGCAGGAGGTAAGGTCAGGTGCACAGAGTTCAGGTGGGCCTGGGGAGGGTAGGAAGGATGCTGAAAAGACTAGGGAAGGACCAAGGCACTGAGAACCCAGCCAGGACCGGGCTCCTACTCTGGGATCTTCTTGTCCCACTCAGCAGCCCTGTTGGAGGACCTGGGCGAGGGCTCTGCTGCCTGTGAGGTGGACAGGGCAGGGCCAAGATATGTTGGGAAGGAGTGGCTGATGTGAGTGATCTGAGGAGATCAGACAGCAGGCAGGGGCAGAGTTACAGGATGGGTGTGGTGCCCTGAACACCTGATGAACGACCAAGCCCGCTTGCAGCCCGAGGCACATAGGAGGTGTCCCAGATAGAGCCCTGAGCTCCTCTCACTTCTGACACACTGCTTGTCTTTAGCAGAAAAGGCTGTTAGAGCTCACCAGGTTATCATAACTGGCTACCGGTTGATTACTATTAATCCTCTCCCTTCACTTTGTAGCTTACAAAGTGCTTAATAAACTTTTTACGTTTGACATCCATGGGGTCAAAGGTAATGTGATTACCGTAGCGTGGGAAGACAGTCTGTCCTTCCAAAGGTACTATGTCCTTTCTTGTTGGTGTGCTGGTCACTCTTAGCCTCAGCCATTGGAGTCACCTTACAAATATGGGATGAGCCATAAAATACGACAATGCATTAAACTGAGGCTAGGGCTAGGGAGCTGACTCAGTGGCATAAGTACCTGCCTGGCAAGTGCAAGGTCCCAAGTTCAATCCCCGGTACTGGAAAAAAAAAAAAAAAAAAAAAAAAAAAGAGTAAGCTGAGGCTGTTTTTTTGGTCCTGGGCTCATGACTGATGGGTCTTACTTTCAGTTTTTTCTCTGAATGAGACATGTGCCCTTTTCTAGTGTCCTGCCACCCCATGCACTGGCCACAGGGACCAAGATCCTGAGAGCTGGAGCAAGGAGGTAGCCCCCGGTCCACTCCCAGATGGAGGCAGAACTACGGCTAGCTAACTGCAAGCTGTATTTGCACTAGAAGACCTCTCTCCCTGCCACAAGTCCCTTCTTTTTCCAAAATTCAGCTCCTGACTATTGAGTGACTCCTCACAAGTTTGCTCTGATAGCTCCTCCACAGACTGCTTGTTTGAAAGCGCAGAGGAAACATCAGCTGGGCTGTACAGTACGGCTTGGACTGCATCTACATCAGAAAGAGACACCCTTATTTGGTCTGTCTTCCATTCAACCCTTCTAAAAAGGGTTCTGTCTTTCAAAGTATATCTGTAGCCAGACACTGACCAGATGCTCCTGCACCAATCTCTGGTAACAGCCTCCTTGTGTTTCCTTTTTGGGTCTTAAAAGATGTACATTCAGGCCTACAAGACCAGTAACTTGCGGATGAAGATCATTAAGAACGACTTCCCCAGTCACCCTCTCCACCTGGAGGGCGCCCTCACCAGGAGCACCCATTACCAGCAGTACCAGCCTGTCATCACCCTGTACAAGGGCTACACCATCCACTGGGACCAGGTGGCTCCCGCTGAACTGGCCATCTGGCTCATCAACTTCAACAAGTGAGTAGGTACTGGCCAGGACCAGCATGCCTGGGGACAGTTGTGTGGCTGAGCTCAGAGGGTGGTGATGAGGCTAGCCTGCTGATCCCTACACGGGTCAGGAGGCTAGCCCACTCCCCGCAGGAGTGCCCCCCAAGAGGGTTTACATCATCTAGGAGCTAAGACTCAAAGGACACAGTCTGACGCCACTGTTGACTGGGTGACCTCCCCTCCTTCAGGTGGGATGAGTGTGAAGATGATGACTGAGTGGCAGGAGTTTTCCTGAGTACATAGCCTTACCAAGAGCTCAAGAGATGACAGTTATGGGTACCACTGCTATGTTACAGAGGGAGCTGAGACTCTAGCCTGGGGCCATCTGGGTAGGGATGCACATTTTTGTTCAATGTCTTTGGTGTGCATTGCAACTTATAGTATTCTGTGAAATAGACACTGGATGAAGAAAATGAGAATTGCAGTCCTTTGCCAGTGGGCACTTGGCCCCAGTGCCATCAAAAGCTGCCTTACCCTGCTGCCCAGCTCCCTGGTGCAGGCCTTGATTCCCAGTTGGCCCATCTTCCTTGCTCCTGGCTCTCTCCTGGAGTACACTGTCACTCCATCATTACCTAGAATGATTTGTTCAAAGTTTCTTGTGCAGGAATCCTTGGGTCTCTCTCTCTCTCCAAGTGTTCCCCAGCCATCCTTCCTGGGAACTAAACCTACTTCTGGTCCTAGGGGTGACTGGATCCGAGTGGGGCTCTGCTACCCACGAGGCACCACCTTCTCCATCCTCTCGGATGTCCACAATCGTCTGCTGAAGCAGACATCCAAGACGGGCACCTTTGTGAGGACTCTGCAGATGGAGAAGTTAGAACAGAGCTATCCCGGCAGGAACCACTACTACTGGGATGAGGACTCAGGGTAAGGAGGCCCCTGCCACTGCAAGGAGGGCTCAGTTTCACTCTGCCCTGTGTCCTTCTCACAACCCCAAAACAACCAGGTAAATGATGCCAAGTTGTGCAGGTGCTTCAATCCTAATGCTTACGACACTGTGTACTGGTAACATTTTAAAAGCCATTAAGCCTCAGGGGAAACACAAAAACATTATTAAATATACATCTGGATTGTAGGAAATACACTTATCTCAGAATGAAAGTGAAAGCAGTAAATCAGACGTTTAAAAATATGATAGGGCTGAAGGTGTAGCTCAGTGATAGAGCGCTTGCCTAGCGTGTGAGGCTCTGGATCCCATCCCCAGCCCAAGACAAGATAAAGCAAAACAAAAATCTTCATGGTACATTATCTCCCAAAACCTGGTGGTAGAGGTTTCAGGCCATAACGGTCTGGCTCCAAGGCAGGACGGCCTGGTAGAAGGGCATCGCCAAGGAGAAACAGTCCAGGGCAGGGCAAGCAGGAGAGGGCAACGCAGCAACGCAAACCTCCCTTCCCCTTTTATTCTATCTAGGCTACAAAGCTTTTGAGGGGTGCCATCCATACCCAGGGTGAGTGTCCTCATTGTCCACATTCAGAACTATGCTAAACCAATGGACTAATTCAGCTATTATACTCTGAATCTGTATTCGCGCAACCTGGATCCAGCCCCCTCGGATCACCCACCTGTGAGCACACGCAGCTTTGGGAGGATGTCTGGACATCTAGATAGAAGCCCTCTCAGCTTGTTACCCTGAGCTGCTGCCTTCTCTGGAGCGCTCAGGAGGGGCAGGCACAGAAGGGGGTGCCATTGTAGGTCACAGGGCCTGCCTCCTCTTGGCATTGGCTATCTGGTACACAGTCCCTCTGCGAATCCAGTGTATGTCCTGTCTGGGTAGCTGAGCCCTGGTCGGGGGCCATGCACCATGACACAGCCCAGCTCCCAGAGCCAAGCAGGCTCCATGGGGCTCAGCTCCCAGAGCAGGGGTGTGCAAGCCCCCCATCCCACCACATCTGCCACTGTACAGGTAGGGGACCAGAAGCCCTCTGAGCTTAGGAATACAATGACAAATCTCAAATAAGTACTGTGGTTTCTTCATAATTTGACTCCCTGTAACACAGGGCCAGATTCCTCCACAGTAATGATTACTTTAAGTAAATTCAAAAATAATTCTTAGAATAAATGATGGTTTGGAGAAAACCCGAGTTAGAAGACTGAGAGCTTTGTGCCCTGGGCACCATGGAGGGATGGGAGCTCTGGTTTGACCACCACTGGGGTGGTGCTAGGAGAGCCTCATCTCTTCTCTCCTTGCCACTTCTCTGGCCCAAGAAATCAGGCTGACAGTGCTACCGGCAGGACTGAGGATGAAGCAAGGTCACCTTCATCATGTGCATGCATGTGGCAGAACAGAATCCAGTTCCCATCCCATCAGCACAGGCTTCTCCTTCAGTGTGTGTGCTTTGCATTTCTTCAACTGCCTTTGAACGATGTCCTGGTCAGCGCAGGTCGGACCCAGGCATCAGCACGTGGCCGTTGTCTGGTGGGGCCACTCTGTGAACACCACGCCCTCATCCTGCAGGCTCTTGTTCCTGAAGCTCAAAGCCCAGAATGAGAGGGAGAAGTTTGCCTTCTGCTCTGTGAAAGGCTGCGAGAGGATAAAGATTAAAGCTCTGATCCCGAGGCACGCGAGCGTCAGCGACTGCACAGCCGCCGCCTACCCCAGGTTCACAGAGCGGGCTGTGGTGGACGTGCCCATGCCCCCCAAGCTCCGCGGGCCCCAGCTGGTGAGTGCTGACCGCCCACGCACCTCCCACGACGACCTCGCCCCAATGGCACCCCTCTGCACTGCTTCTGGGCCCCATGGCCACGCCCCTGATGCCCAGACCTGATGCCACTTGGCTGTGTGTTTTCCAGAAGTCCAAGGACCACTTCCTGGAGGTGAAGGTGGAAAGTTCCCGGCAGCACTTCTTCCACCTGCGAAGTGACTTCTCCTACATCCAGGTGAGCAGTGGCCCGCAGGTATGAGAAAGTCCCAGGGCAGTGGCTTTCCTGCGGCTGCCGCTGTAACGAGTTCCCACAGCCAGGGCTTACCCTAGAGCTGAGTTCCTCTTTCAGTCCTGGATCCAGGAGTCTGACACGAAGGCCAGGCTGTGCTCTAGCTGCCGCAGGGACCTCTGACACCCCAGGACTCGGCCTGTGCCGTGCCTGCACGTGGCCTGTCCTGTGTGTTTGAATCTCACATCTCCCTCTTCCTTTCTTTGTAAGGGTAACTGTCGCCAGATTTAGGGCTCCCCCAAAAAAGTCATACATGAAGGGCCGGGGATATGGCTCAGCGGTAGACTGCCTGCCTGGCAAGTGCAAGTTCCTGCGTTCAATTCCTAGTACCCAACAAAACAAGAAGCAAAGTGAATAAAAGTCCTCCATTTCACCCTGAGATCTTTACATGAAGTAAAGATGGACGCATTTAATCAGTGCCTCTGCAATGACCCTATTCTAAATAAGTTCACCTCAATAGAGACCAATAGATGTATCTTTTAGGGGGCTGCTATTCAATCTGTTCTAAAGGGATGGAGAGAAGTAAGGGGTTTATACTTCAAGCAGAAGCATAGGCAACCTGTGTTCAGGGTCTGCACGGGAGATGCCAACAAGAGACCCTCACATCTGTGCTGCTTGGACCCTGCAGGTGGATGGGAGGAGGTACCCTAGCTCGGAAGATGGCGTCCAGGTGGTGGTGATCGATGGGCGCCAGGGGCATGTGGTGAGCCAGGGTACCTTCAGGAGCTCCCTCCTGCAGGGCATCCCCTGGCAGATCTTCAGCTACGTGGCAGCCATCCCTGACAAGTGAGTCCCTGCCTCCGCTTGCAGGTCTAGCTGGGGCATGGCTGAGTCCCACCCCTCCTTCCATGCTGTCACTGCCCTTGTGCTGGTCTGGGAAACTTGGAGGGCATGCACACAGACACAGATGCCCATGCTGGAGGAGGGCTGGTGGGAACCCAGGGCATGCTGTGGCGGACAGTCTGCCCGTAGGACTGGAAGCACCTGGCCCTCTGCCCATCTTATAGTCTCTACATTGACCTTACACATGTGCACTTCTTCAACATGACCCAAAAGCTTCTGGCTCCTGAGTGCCCCCAGCCCAGGTCTCTTAAGCCCAGACGCTGTGCCCAGAGAATGTCCAGAGATGTCACCTGGTTGTCTCCTATGGAACTGTGTCCCCTTCTTTACTTCCACCTCAAACCAGGCACTCCTGTCCATTTCCTATCAGAGTAAGTGGTCATCGTTAATCCAGCAGCTGGACCTGAATCTAGGCTGCATGTGTGACTCCACTCTCGTTCCCTCATGCCCTGACACAGTCCCTATCAGACACTCTGGGTGTCCTCCCAGCCCCGATGTCTGCCCAGCTTTTTCCGTTGGTCACCACTGCTGGGCAGGGTCTCCCCATGTTCAACCTGAGCTTCTCAAATGTTGGGCTCACTTGTGTCCCCCTGGGCCACCTTTGATAGCTCCCCACTACCTTTCAAGTCTGATGGTCCTGTGGCCTCCCTGGTGAGGGTTCATCCACCTTCCCAGAAGTCCTCTGTAAAACAGCACTCCTAGCAGGGGTGGGCACAGAAGCCCTGATGCTGTGCCACATCTCTGCTCTCTGTACTTCTGGAGAGGGTCAGATGGGCCCTGAGGTCATGCAGGAGCCACCGCCTAGTGGGAGGTCTGCCTGCATAGTGTGGCGCCTGGGGCATAGTGGGTGCTTAGTGAGAGCTCAGGAAACCAACACAGTCTCTATGTGCCACTTGTACAGTGGGAGGGGGGTGATGTGGGCCCTGGGAGAGTCCCCAGAGTGGGATTTGCCTACTGTACTTAGCTCCTCTCAGGCACCACCCTGCTGCTTTAGTGTTAGATTTTTTTCTTTTTAAATGTGCAGATTGTACAGGGGATGAGCTTTACCACCTGAGGTAGAGAAACACATATCACCTAGAGATCAGCAGCAGTTTCCATGCCTATTTTGGCCAGAAGACTTCTTCCTAAAATGAAACCGGATGCAGACCCAGGGACAGGAGCACAGGGTGCCGTCTGGAGCTGGGTGCAGCAGCCGCATGACCCTCAGGGCACCCCAGTGGGCACAAGCACCTCCCGGACCAGCACTGGGTGTCCAGGCAGGACCAGGGTCCCACTGATGCCTCTCTGACCTCCTGCAAAACCCAGGGAAGGAGCACGACAGGCCCTTCCCTCCCGGGCTGCCAGCCCAGCCTGCCCACCATCACAGGCCCAGGGAAGGAGGAGGGCACGGCTCAGGGCTGGCACTGCCTGGTGCGGGGCTTCCAGGCCCTGATGATGGCACCCAGCAGAGCCTCTTGGCAGGACAGGCAGAGCGATTCCAGTTTTATCTGGAAGTGGAAGGAGCCCTGCCTGCCCGTCTGTCCCAAGGCCAGGGCCTTCCTTGGAGCCTGCCCAGCAGGGAGGCTGAGCCTAGTGGGATGTCCTCCTGGGAACAGGCCCAAACCCACAGCCAAGAGTGCACCTGCAGGCCCCAGGGCCCACTTCTGGGCTCCCCCAGAGCATCCCCATGCCATCCTTCCACATACAAGCTCCAAGCCTTTCAGCAGCCCTTCTGCTGCTCCCGGTGGGACCCGGATTGGGGTAGCAGGGGGTTCCAGAGCCCATCCAGTTTTTCCTTGTCTGGACTGTGGTCTGTGGTTACAGACTTCCTTTGGGACAGGAGCTGGAAGCCCCAGTGAACTTTAGCCCCAGTTCAGTTTCTGTCTCGGAGGGAAGTGCTCACTTCCCTGTCTGGGGCAGCACAACCATTTTCCCACCACGCAGGACCCACACAGCCTGCTGCAGGAAGCAGAGACGCCTGGCTCCTGTGCTGGGACCTGCGGGCTGGGCATGGCCCCTGCAGCCGGCCCTCTTGAGTTGTTGAGGCTGTTTGCTCAGCCTCCCAGTGTGCAGCCCAGTGTGTAAGAACACAGTGCTTTTCCTGGGAAAGACATCAAACCAGGTTACCCCCTCCCTGCAGCACAGAGGAGGCAGCTCGAGGTGGCACAAAGCCCATGACCAGAAGATGCTCCAAAAGAAACAGGTTCAGGGAGAAAGCTAGCATGGGGAGATTTCTTTCAAACTCAGAACCTGGTTCAGAAGGTCGGCTATGGGCCACCAGTGCAGTCCGCCAACATATCAAGCACCCAGGACTCCAGTCCCACGGGGAGCTGTGGATGGCTCAGAGCTTGACAGAGGACTCCTCTCTCCTTGCTTTCCCTCCTTATTCCCTTCCTACGTCCTGTCACCTGTTCTGGCTTCGCTATTGCCCCTTTCTGCTGGCTCTGTCTAAACAGCGCCGACAGCATCCACATGAAGACGTGCATGTCTCGAGCAGGTGCCGACACTCGCTCAGGGTGGTGGGCTCTGTGTGCATGTTCTGTCCTGTTTGGGGACAGATGTGTGAAAGCAGTGATCACATCCAGGCTTGAGTCGCCAGAGCCCCGGCGGTGGCCAAATGCGTGGGAGGGTGCTCGGGATGTTGTCACCACGTGGAAAGAGCCTGTCAGCTCAGCCACAGGAGAGGCTGCCCTTTCCCGAGTCGCTGGCCAGGCCCTCGCACCCCTGTGTCTGGGCCAGCATCCTGCCACGTACCTGGGCCCATTTCTCCCCATTCAAGTCATCTGATTGGCCCCTTCTCTCCAGCTCTATAGTTGTCATGGCGTCAAAGGGAAGATACGTCACCAGAGGCCCATGGACCCGAGTCCTGGAGAAGCTGGGGGCAGAACGGGGTCTCAGGCTAAAAGGTGAGAAGCACAGTGGGTTCTGCGACCGCAGGCCAGAGCGGATCTCACCCTCCCTCTGGCACCAATGCTACAGTGACCCCTCCTGGAGTCCACAACAGTCTTGGTCACTACACGTGGATGTGGCCCCAGGTTCTGGACACATCTGGGCAGTGCCAGGGATGGGCGAGATGCCACCTGCTTTCCATCCATACAGTGCAGCAAGTGTGTTTCCACTTGTGGCCAGACACTGAAAACAAAATTGCTAGAGCCATTCCCCTATCTACTCACCAGGTGGCCTTTTACTCACCAACTCAACACCAGCTCATCAGGAAAGGGGCTTTGTCTCCCTCCCTCCCCAGTTCCCGTATTCAGACTGGCTGGGGGCCCTCTGTCTTCCTGGACACCCCAGCGGCTGGGCATCAGTGTCCAGCATCCGTACAGTCGATCACACTTGGCAAAGCTCTTATCTTCTGAGATAGGCAGACAGGGAGAAAGTTAAAGCCCAGAAAATCCAAGTTTATGCAGGTAGCTGTCTGTGGTGGAGCCCACTCCAGATGCTTCAGCTGTGCCAGACAAGGCAGCCAGGACGGAGAGGTCAGGCACTGCTCATTAATGACTCATCAATGGGAGCTACTATTTCCATTTAAAATGAAGACACTGAGAATTACAGTTAAGTCACTTCGTAAATATTAGGATTTGGATTGTAACCTTGCTGACCCAAAGCTAGAGTTCTGAGCTCCTGCACCCTGAGTATGAAAGACATGGGAACACAGAGCCCATCGTATGGTGCTTATGCCAGACAGTGACCAGGGGGACTCAGGACAGTGACAGTCCTTCAAGGCAGGCACAAGATAGCCCAAGGAGAAGGGAAACCTCCATCCCAGGATAGTGCTGGAGCCATTCTCAGGCTCTGCCCTTGGAGTCCTCATTGCCAAAAACTTATGGGCATAAGGTCACTAAGTCACGTGGCACTTTGCCAGTGGTGATAAATGTGTGCCACCTGCCAGCCAGGCCACCGAGTGCAGGTGTGGTTCTCTGGCCCCTCAGACATCAGGGCTGTGAAATGCAAGGCAGGAAGAGCTATGAGGGCTGAGTCTGGAGTCCTCGGCTGGGCTGCTCCTGGCATTCCTGCTCCTAAGAGGCTACAGATGGACAGAGTTCAGGAAGCAGTCTTGTGGACAGGGGAGGACACTGGGCCTCAGAGACCTGCTGGTGACCACAGGTCAGCTGGAAGGAGGCAGTGTTCCCAGGAGCTCTTCTCCCAGCCTGTCCTATGGACTGCATGCACAGAGCCACTGTAGGGCTGGGCACTGGGCTTGAGGAGGGCTGTGTATTCCATTCAAGGGCTGGGTACTACCCTAAATGGGCTTACAGCCCTGCTAGGGGACGGAATGCCAAGTGTGGCCACGCACAGGGGTGGGCTGCAGCCATTCTCCGCAGGGTTTCGCTCACGTGACTCATCACTGCTTTCCAGAGAAACTGGCATTCATTGGCTACAAAGGCAGCTTCCAGCCCACCTGGGTGACCCTGCAGACGGAGGAGCACAAGGCCAAAATCTTCCAGGTTGTGCCCATTCCCGTGGTAAGGAAAAGACAGCTGTGAGGATGGCTGCCACCTTGGAGCCACTGTGGCGGACTCTGGCACAGACCCTTGGCTCCCAGCCCTGTTCACAGCTCTCCAGGAAGGTGGCTTATTGGTCCTGCTGGCCAAGGAAACGACGACATCAGAGACCTGTGGTGCTGCCACCCGCCCCAACTCACTCATCTACCTGCAGCAGGGGTGGTGCTGGCCTCTCGGGTGCTTTTCTCCTATCCGTGCCTCTTCTGCAGGAGTGTGAGGTAGCCTGGGTTGTGCTGGCTGCAAAGGCCCACTCAGGCTGGAGTCCTGGCCCAGGAAGAACTGGCAAGAAGGACTGGGTCACATGCAAATCCCATGGTCACCAGCGGATGGTCGGGGCAGGGGTAGGAATGAGAGTCCTGGCCCTCTGGAGATCTTCACTCCCATGAGCAAGGACAAGCCTTGCTGTGTAGACAGGCTGTGCTGTGCAGCTGGCCACCTGGGGAGTGGCTGCCTCTTGGGAGAATTCAGGGGCACACTGGGACCAATGCCCTTCCGTGCTGCAATGCTGATGCCTGCGCTGGATCCCAGCAGCAGCTGAAGACAATCTTCCCAGTGGACTTGTAGGACGAGAGGGCTGGGGTTCATGGTGGAGAGGTGAGGGATGTGTCAGCTGAGCAGCCGAGGGGTGGAATGCCAGGTAGAGAGGCTGGAGAGGTGAGAGGAAGCCAGTGTCCATCAGATTGGGGCAGGTGCAAGGGCCTGAGAGAAGGTACTGGGTAATGGGAGCAAAGGGCTGTTTGTTGGTGGAGAGGGGCTGTGGCCCCTCAGGTGGCTCAGCAGAGAGCATCTTCCTGCCACCACCTGCAGCAGTTGGGTGACTGCAGGGTTGCCCTTGCTCTCTGCTAGCTAACCCACACAGGACAGAGAAGGTCAGAGGGAGGGTTAGCCTGCGGAACTAGCCCTCAGAAAGTGCAGAACAGGCCATGGGCCAAACCCCTTGCTCTGGGGGACAAGGGATTGGATCACCCTCAGCCTTCAATCAGCTGCAGGGAAGATGGGGCCCTGGGGAGAAGAAGCACGAGGCCAGGGCAGCCCAGGCCCACTTCCAGCAGTTGCTGCCACACCACGCTGCCTCAACAGCTGGCACAGGGAAGCAGGCCCCTGAAGTAGCTTCCCAGAAGGGCTCTGGTCCCCTTCCATGGGAAGAGAAGCAGCACAAGGAGGGACCTTCAGCTGGTGGCCGTCTCCTGCCTGCCCTCCTCTGGGTGTTGAGCTCCTGCACTGCCGTCACTCGGCTCACACTGCTCACCAGCGCTTGCCTGGAGCCCTGTGGTGGTGGTCGCTGCCTTGGTGCTACGGTGTCTGCAGCCCCACAGCAAGGCCCAGCAGACCGCGTGCCCCAGCTCCTGGTGAGCCAAGAGCTACCATTCTCATCTACAGCTCAGGGCCCCGCTGGGGCTCACGCCATCCCTAGACCAGGGTGCATGGCCTGTGGCCTCTCAGGGGCTCCTGAGTGCACATGTCCTCTCCCTTCCCCAGCCACGAACTCCTTCCTTGAGAGAGGGCTCGCTGGGCCCCCTGCACCCCGAGACTCTGTCCCAAAGCCCACTCTCCAGGCTGAGCCAACTGCCAGAGAGGACTTGCCCATCCTGCAGGCCTTTCAGCCACTGGAAGGTGACAGCAGGACCCTGCCTTTTAAGCACAGCTGCTTTGAAAGCCCAAAGCGTGAGGAGGACTCTTCTGGGGAGCTCAGTAGGCAGAGCCATGGTGACCTCGTTCCCATCTTGTTTTGTGCCACTGACTCCTCTAGTGCTTCCCACAAGGGTCTAACACTGTGAACCACTTAGGACATGATCACTTTTGGGGTGACCAGAAATGTTGAATGTCTTTGGGTCAGTTCATTATGACACATATCTATTGGAAACTTCTCAGAGTTGTACATATATTTGAGATGACAGGATCTGTACATAAAATTTTCTTTCCTACAGTGCTCACCAAGAGGAATGACTAGGCACTTTGCTGGTGGCACCGCTTTCCTTACTGCTTAGAAAACTGTTCTTGCTGTTCTTTCTGTTTGTGACAGTGAGTCAGCCCTCTGAGGACAATCACAATCCTCTGAAATGCTTGTCAGTTTCTTGTTGCCGAATTAGCTGGTCCTTTTTCGGATGGATGTATAGCATCTTTTGTATATAAATATTTCTTGTAGGTGTCGCCATGAACAAAGATATATTTTCTATTTATTTATTGTATATGCACTTCAAGGAGTCACTGTCAGAGAAATGAAGTGTTGTCTTAAATGTCATGTTTGAGGGAATCCTTTGAACTGCTCGAGAGGGGTGTGCCTGGAAGCCAGGTACATCAGCTTCGGTTTGGAAAATCAAGTTGTACCTTAGTAAACTTACAAAGGATGCCATAGTCTTGTCTGCTTGGTTTTTCCTCCTCATTTTCAGTCATTTATCTAAGGAGGGTAAGACTGACATTCTCACTCTGTCTTTGTCTGTGGCCCAAGAGCTACTTGGGAGCCAGGGAGATAGCTCGGTGGCTTAAGGCCCTGCATGGCAAGCACAACATCCTGAGTTTGATCCCTGGTACCAAAAAAAAAAAAAAAAAAAAGAGCTACTTGGATGACAAGCTCTGAGGGTGGCTGGAGCGCAGGTGGGCTGGGCCCACTGGCAGCAGCGAAGACACCCTTCAGGCAAGTCCAGAGCAGCTGTGCGGCCACGTCACTCAGCCTCAGCACGTGTCTTCCACACACAGGGCCACAGGGCTGGCCGGTGTGAGACGCTTCCTCTGGGGCATGTTTGTCAGAAGCCAGTGTCCTAGAGGAGTGTGGAGGCTGAGGTAGGCACTCAGGTCTCAGTCCCGCTGGTGAGCAGGTGGTGCCAGGGCAGTGGAGGTGCCTGCAATGTGGGTGGGGCTCAGGGAGGGGGAGGGACCAGGATGGGGTGAGCTGGGCCACAGCTGGGCCATCCAGGCGGTGGCCATCTGCCACATGGGCTGCCTCTATGGTATTTCATCATGGAAGCAGCACAGAGTTTGGCTTCTCATGTGCGCTGCCCACATGGCGAGTACGCCATGCTGGACTGCAGAGGTGCAAACCTTACAGGAAGATCCTCACCTAATAATTTCCAGAGAGCTACTGGGACTTATACCCTGGGATTTAAAATAATTCTATATTGCTCTGTGTGTGTGTGTGTGTGTGTGTGTGTGTGGGTGTGTATGCATGTGTGTGTCTCCAGTGCACCTGGAGGGGCTGATACTACACTGGTAGTGTTAGGCTGTCAGTGAGAAAAGACATCTGGTAAACCAGCTGTGGATGTTCTGCATCAGGTGTGTGGCAGGCACCTAACAGGCAGCTGTGGGCCACACCAGGGAAGGGACACGAGTACTGCTCCTGCCAGGCCCTGAGCACAGGGAGGGAACCATGGGGATGCTGGGGAGTAGCACAGCCAAGCTGTTCACAGAGGAAGAATTATGATACCTGGAGAGGCTAGGACAGGTCCACAGCAGAGATACGGTCAGGATGTTGGGCAGGGCAGTGACCAGGCCCTTGGCTTCAGGATGCCTGGCAAAAATCAGGGCAGAGGCAGGAAGGTGGGTGGGGCTGTGGAGTCAGTGGTGGGGCTTCTCAGCCCATCACTAGTGACTTCTCAGCCAGAAATGTCCCCATGACGATGTGTCACAGCAGAGCCAGCTAGAGGGCGAGAAGGGCAGGGACAGGACTCCCAGCCACCAACAAGCCATGTACAAATCTGAGTTCAGGGGCAGGCGGCGCTGGGCCCTCCACATTCATCCATGCAGTTCTCACCAGAGGCTGGAGCAGTCACTATGGAGAGTGCTGGGTGGCACCGTCTTGTCCCCACGGAGACAGACAAGGGGATGTGCCCCACCCAGCAGCCTGGGGCACAGAGGCCAAAAGGGTGCAGGGAGGGCGGGAGCTCTCCAGGCTCAGGCTTCCGCGAGGGCACAGCAGGAGCCCGAGCTGGAGGCCAGGATGCAGAGCTGGAAAGGCAGGAGGAAGGTACAGTGGGGCTCGCCCAGGAACCTGGGGTGGCCTTGAGAGTGGAGACTGCCGGAGCAGCGCCCCTCTGCCTACACATCTGTCCGCACAGCTAAGGGGATGCTTGGCCAGCATGTAGGTAGCTTTGGGGGTCAATGCTGTCCTGTACCTGGCCCAGCTGCTCCCTTGTGCCACAGCCCACTGCCCCAGGGGTCTCCTTTCCTCCCCCGGCTTGCCCTCTGTCACTTTCCAAGGTGGGTCCCTCACGTCTCCAGGAGCCACTAGTTCATCCCCATCTTGCTCCCCCAGGACCCAGCTCTGTGTCCCTGTCACAGCTTGTCACTCGACACACCTGGAGCAGGGCCATCTGCTTCTCCCAGGACAGCTGAACTGTCCCTGTACATGTGCACCCGTGCCGTGCCCAGCCTGCAGAACAGAGGTGTAGAGCTGCCGTCCCTGCCCTCCTGATGCTACTGTGAGGCGAGGCATGCTGGGATCCCAACCAGCTCCTAGGGCTGGGGATGTGGGGGAGATTTTTTCCCGGTGGCAGGGGAAGGAGTAGCACATGGACAGGAGAAGCAAGTCTGCAGGCCGTGGCGGCCCGACCTCAGTGCTGCTGTGGGTGAGAGAGAGGGAGGGCAGAGAAGATGGGGCAGGGAGAGGTGGGGTCACTGGTCTGGCCCTGCCTTCTTCCCAGAAACCCATTGCTGCACAAACAGAACAGAGGACAGCATGGGACACTGTACTCAGAGCAGCCCCTGCACCAATGCGGGAGTGTCCTAGCACCAGGACCAGCTGGTACAGCCAACTCCATACATGCTGCAGCCTTTGGCCTGCCAGACATGCACTGCCCTGGAGACCAGGGCAGCTGTTGGCAGCCAGGTGAGAGGTAGGCTCCAAGCACCACCAGGAGCCCTGAAGGGGACACAGGGATGGCAGATTTAGAGCTGCCCAGCCAGTGTGACAGAAAGAGTGGAGTCTTAGAGGTGTCCCAGGGCTCCCTCTTAGCCATGTCCCTCCTCTTTTCCCAGTCCTGCCCCAAGCTCCTGAAGACCAAGGCCATCCTAGGAAAGCCCTGGCTTGGGTGTCACTCAGGGTGTACACATGTGCCAAAGGAAATAACCCTGCACAAGATAAGTGTGTGGGAAGATTGACCGTTGGGTACTCTCCCTGAAGAAACAACTTCTGGGCATCCTCTAGGCCGCACAGAAGACAGGGAATGAAGGGTTCAAGGACGGGGTGGGGGCCAAAGTCCAGCTACGGACAGCTCCTGGGGTCCTGGAGACACTGGAAGAGGAAACCTCAGGGGCAGTACTAGAGCAGCGCAGGCAGCTATGACCACTCAGAAGGGAAGGCTGGGTTAGAAACCAGGGCCTGAGAATGAGCCAGGAGTCGGGGAGCGCAGGCACCAGGCAAAGCTGTGGCGGACTCTCCTTCGTGCAGCAGGAAGACACATGGTGCTGTTCTGAATACTGGCAGGTTTGTAATTACAGGTTTAGCAGGGAAAACAAAAACTAATGAGGGTAATTAATCCCATGTAAGAGGAGGAATCTCCCTTCCCAGCACCGCAGTGGAGGAAAGCAAATAAAGCGCAGCCTTTGAGAGAACAGAAGACTTACCGCTCGCTCGAACACAGCAGAGGACCTCATAGTGCGGGGACGAGCGGACCGCTACAGTCACAACTGGACACACATATGCTTTTCGTGACCATCAGACCCTCGGAACTGATGAAAAACACAAGATCATTTGCTGCCCCCAGGCCACGTATGTGATGGCATGCCACCAGCCTTCAGAGCCCACCATCTCTTAGTGCTTAAATACTGCTCAAGTTTCTATTGATGGAAGAAATGTGACAAGTTCCACTGCCGCCCACCACATGCACAATTGCATGTGTGTGCACAGACACGCAAGCACAGATTCATTGTGAGAGCTGTGTGTGCAACTGCAGAAACGGACAAGTCCTGAGATGTGCAGCAGGCAGCAGGCGACCCAGGAGAGCAGGGAGAGTGCCAGCATCCCCTCCGAGCTGGGCACGAGGACAGCCCCTCTCTACTGGACAGCCACAGCCACTTGTCCCCGGAGGGCCACCTGAGCGCTCCGTGGGTCAGCTCCAGCTCTTAAAAAAAGGCAAAGCACCACACACACAGTCTGCTAGTCTGCTTTTCATGGCTGGGACAAAGCATTTTAAGAGGAGGATAGGTCCGTTGGCCTCTTGGTTTCAGACATCCCAGCCCAGGGTCACACAGCCCTGCTGCCTCAGGCCTGTGGTGACCACAGAACAAGTACATGGTCAGGAAGCAGAGAGGCAAGGCCGGGCCTGCCCCTGGGACCCCTTCTGCCAGCAGGCCCCACCTCCTAGGGCCTCTCACTAGTGCCACAGGCAGGCCTAAGGGGAACACTCGCAATCCAAACGACAGCACAACATGGCTCAAATCATATCCGACCAAAGGCAGAGTGTGCTGGCCCCGTCAAGTGGACACAAAACAAACCAGCACAGCAGGTTTTTGTTCTTTCCTTCGTGATTTCTCCCAAGTCACATGACATCAAGAGGTTACCTAGGGGCTGGTGAGATGGCTCAGTGGTCTAAAGCACCTACTTAGAACAAGCTTGGCAGAGCACAGGGACCGCGGTTCAATCCCCCAGCACCACATGCCAGCCAGCCCCGTCCCCTGGTGGGCTGAGCTGGCCACACACACACACACACACACACACACACACACACACACAAATAAATAAAAAATTTAAAAAAAAAAAGAGGTTACCTGGAGCATGGTCTTGTGAGGAGGATCTGGAATATTGGTCACTGTTGCCCAAAAGTCGCCCCCTCTTCCCTCCTGGGCACAATCACCGGAGGGAATCACTGGCCTGGGTGGTTCTGGAGCACAGGCTTCTTCCTTCCTTCAGGGGAACAGCATAGTCTCTCCCCCACTGAAATCACAAGCCGACATCTCTTTCCATAGGCTGATGTCACCAAGGTGCTCTGTTCAGCAAGGTCTATGTCTTCTGGTCACTGCCCCTGCTGTCCACAAGCCTAATCTTGGGACTCTCTCCTTGCAGTGCCCAAGCCATGTCAAGGACCTCAGCAGATGACAACTGCCCCTGCATCCTGAGACAGAGCCACTCGATTAGTCCCAAAGATGTGGTGAGGTGTGGCAACCTCAGACTTTGACACCCATTTCCACCAAAGGAAGAGACAATCAGAGAGTCACCATGGTCCTGGAAGGAAACACAAAAACATGCAGATGAATATGCTGCAGTGCACCCCTGATCAAGGGAGAGGGTGCAAGAGACCCCTCTGGGGAGCCCGTGAGTCTTTGGGCAGAGGAAGCTGGGCTCTCGCTCTCAGTGCAGGCTTGCCAAGCTCCCCAGGCAGAGCCCAGTGGGTGTGCCAGCTCTCAGACAG